AAATTAGGGTATTTCAAATAGATTATATGTATTTGGTAGTATAATTTAATTACCATATTAGAAATGGTTCACAAGATATTCAGTTTAAATATTAGGTATATTATTTGTAAGTAATGGCAGGAAATGTATCATTTACTTTATATATCTATGTTATTCATACTAATGACGTGATATTTTTATATGTATTATTGATAGTATAAAAAGTATATATGCTTTAATTGGATACATTATATTAATTTTCTTATATTTATTACTTAATGGTTTTTACTAAAAGCGTTCATGTTATTAGACTTCAGTCTTCCTGCGTTAGCATGTAGGTAGGGTATGTAATATTGACATTATATATTTAAGTTAGTTTCTTATAATAAATAAATTATTACAAAATATAAGATGTCGTTTTCTTATTAACTAATAAGAAAGCAACATGAAATAGAAGGAAACAAACACATAAATTATTAAAATTCCATCTTTAGTGTAATTTACGGGTCTCTGGTAAGAATGGATTATTTATTTATTTATGTTTTAAAAAAATACAATATTCTAAAAGAAATGTGACATACGAAAGATAACTTATCACTGAATTTCTGACAGGGATATCTGTCAGAAATCCTTTTAATAAAGGAAACGAGTACAGAAATTGCGATGTAGATATGTATCAGCAAGAAAAGGAACAAAAACGAGATATATATAAATAAGCAAATTATAATATAAAAATAAATACATTTTACCTCCAAAAATTTAAAAAGTCTGACAGTTAACTAGCAATGTACAGACGAAATTTAGAAAATATTGTACTTTACGTCTACCTATCAAATATCTATCAAAATAACAATTATTATTCGTTACCATTTTCATATAAAACGTATGATGTTTGAAGAAAATTGAAAACTTCATTAAAACTGAGAATTCCAAAATATCTTTTAAGACAATGATATCATTGTTTTAAAAATAATTATTCACATTTATAAATATGATATTTATTACAATACATTAAATACGTAAAATGCCCACATCTAAAATTCTTATAATCATGGAATTCTCGATACATAACAATACATAGTAAATGTACTTAAAAGCACTTAATAATCATTCAAATGATCAAGAACTTTATAGATTTAAAAGATATTTTTCTCATCTAACTCGACCATATTGATTTAATTTCGATTTCCACCGAACATGTTTATTGTGAAAAAGCGAAACTTCGAATTAAATAACAGAAAATAAATCTGTATATAAATATGCTAAAAACAGTTAAAAAAATAACGATATAATTATATTTCTTTTTATAACAATTTATTCAGATTAAGAATTATAAAGACGACGTAAAATTTCCTATATCGTGTTTCTTTATTGCATCCAATTTGTAGAAGAATTGTTGTCTTATTTTACCAAACAATAGTTTACTTATCATAATAGCGCATAGTCTAAAAAATAGACTCTAAATTTTATTATTTTTATATGAAATTCAGGTCTTCTCACAAAACTGCGGAAATTTTTAAATGACGTGTCTATGAAAATGAACTACACTATGTAATATCCTATTATGTACTGTGTATTGATTATTATTTTTTTTAAATAAAATAATCTATATGAATATATAAAAGCATACATTATGTACTCCATGCTTTAAAATATAAGAATTTTGAGCTAAATTTACTTACCACTTTTTCTTCGACGATGTCATTATTGTTGTTGTTGCTCCCATGTTTTAAGGCACCGTTTTCCATGACCACAAACGTCAGCCAGGATTATTTACTTTGTATAATATAAAGAACACTGTACTCCTAATTACTTACACATAATTTGATATTTCAAATATGTTTCGTTTGGTAATAAACTAAGTTCACAGCCTATTCAATGAAGCTTTTAAAGTTATTTTATACGATGTCAATAAACATATAATTTTGCACCATAACGTTAAATTAATATTTGCTTCTCTTGTAGTATGTATTTAAACGAATATTAATTTAGCCTTACACTGCAGATTAGACACAAATTATGATATGATTAGTAATTAACAAATAGCAATTCCTTAATTACTTTGCTTGTTCTCATTGATACGAGATATCACTTTTAATTTTTTTTCTTATATGTACTTTCTCAGATATTATTATACACAACAAAAATGAATACTTTTGATATCATCCCCGCAGCCAGTGATTGTTTCAAAACACCAGACCGTTATTTAAAATCGTCAGGAGACATCGTCGTATCATTCGTTTTTGTTTCGAATATTGTCGATGTCACTTTTATTGCTATAGAATAATAATAATAAATCGATCATATATCCGTTGCTATGTTACATTACATTGTAAACACATCGTTGTCGTTAAAACACTTTAATTTATATTAAATGTAATATATTAAATTAATTCTAAATGAACATAAAAATCACATATATAATTTGAGAATCGTTTAAAGGCACTGATTGTATCTGTACGTGATACAGTCGGATTAAAGGTCGCATTAGACTGTTGGTGCGGGCGGGCGGTTGGAGGCCCACGTCATACTGCGGCGCGGCGAGTTCGGCTTCGGTGTAGGCATCCGGCTCGTCGCATACCCGCACCAAACACCATCGCTGTACGCACCGTAGTTCGTATTGATGGACCTTGGGCTACATTACCACCTTACCTAAGAGGTCGAGTGTTTAACTTGCCTCTACTTTTCGACTTAATGGCAAATTAACCAAATTGACCAAGTCATACATTTATATTTAAAAATAATGTTTGTATATTATAAGTATAGTATAGTTTTGAAACTTGTTTTTAATCTAAGTATAAGTCGTGTCATAACACATTTATGCGGCAAGTTTTCTAATAACAAAACTTCGACTTCAACACACAATATCGATACTTAGCTTGATATTTCTTTAATGTCTTACATTCTGTGTATATAAAAACTAGTTTCAGCTTGCTCTAAATATCAAATATGTAATATTAATTATCGATGTTCTACTTAACTATTTTTCATTCGTATCCATTCATTTTCGTCATTATATAAAAATAATTTTACTATTGAAATAAATGTTCCCATTCACGTTATAAAAAAGAAAGATTCAAAGCCATTCATTGATGTTGATAGAACAGTATGATACGTAATGATCTAGGCACGTTATGAAGTTTAATGTTTCATGTTGGCTTCATTTTAATTAACCTACACGAATTCTGTTATATTAAAAAAGTAACTTTTAATTAAATATTATTAATCAATCATCCCTTATTGTAAATTCATTATTATAATTAAAAATTAAATTCAAGTTATAAGTCCAGAATATAGACAAGATCTTACTGTATGTTATGACGTCTCAAGAGTCATTTACGTTACGGAGTGTTCAGCAGTGGCCTGAATTCGTACACAAAGCTACTGAAAGCCTTCGCATACACCTTTTTCATTTATACTGCGTATCTTGCATTATGCTCCCTCCTTACTCACAGTTCACCTACTATTTTTAAACCGGCTCAGTTTCTCTTAGTAACTCCATATTTTGTGTATAATATATTTTTAAAAGTTCAGAGAAAATAAAAGGAACAATATACCTAAAAACATTTTCTTGAAAATAAACAGCAAAAAAGTGTTATATTCATTTAAATGTTATAATTTTATTAAAATCATACTTTTCAAATGTTAAGTATTTTAATGGAATGACAATTTTTTTGCAAAAATTTAAATTAACTCATGAATTTTATGAATAAAATACAATTTATGTCCAATAATAAATGTTTTCGGTCATAGTTTAACAATAAAAAGTAATACATCGAAAATCCTTGTATCTTCTCATTACAAATTTATGTTTACCTTTGTCTAGACGCTTATTAAATAATATTGTATTTATGGAATGTAAAATCGGTTTAATAAAATCTTTTATATGATAAAAATAATACTTATTAACGATAAGCTGGTCACATAACATCGTATCAATGATACTTCAAGGTTTATAAATGATAAAACGTAATTAATTTATTTGTTAATTAATAAAATATCATTGAAATTTGTATCAATATGTTATAAAAAACGCAATAAAGAAAATGATTTCAGATAATTATTGGAATTTTAACACCTGTTCACTTAATTACGCATATACACATAAAAAGACAAGAAATACTTATAAGTTTGTACAATGAAAAAGTAATATTTCAAATAGGTATATTGAACCAAATAAACCTTCACTTACCTAAAAACATCAGTAATGCGAAGGGGATGGTATTATTGCCCTTGGGGCACACTGGATATGGTTTCAGGCTAAAAGGGGTTAGGACGCTATTGTGTAGAGACAGATATTTTGTGTGGATGATATTAATCCGATCATGGTAGCCCAACTAACTTCACAGAAAGTACATGCATATGTAATCACGGTTTAGCCTATTATTGTTTAAGGTATTTTATAACTTCATATAATTTATCTCGGTGGAATGCAAATTCGATGAACACAAAGGCATACAATTTTCTTTTACAGTTTTAAAAATGTCGGTTTAACTGCATAATAAAATAATAGTATGCTATATATAAAATAAGAATTCCTTTAAACATATAGGACTTCGGTTCTGAAATTTTATTTACTCAACTGCGTTTGGAGGACAAGCATTAGTTATTATTTTATTTTTGTTTCAATATAAGTTGAAATGTTTCAACGTTCTTATAAAATTCATGTCATTTTGATATCAGTTCTAACATCTTTATTTTCATATTTACTTACACTTGCGGCTTCAGTTTCTAAACGTTCGATGGAAACTCGAAAATTTCACAATAATTGTGTTTATATGAATAACTGATAACATTTTAATAAAAAGAATAAATGATCGTCTACTATTGAACGACGCTTATATTTTTTATACAGATTAGATATCGTCGAATAAAGATTGCTACGTCAATCAAGTAGAGCCAGTTAAACCCCAACAGCGTTCAGACCAGAAATGACGTGCGTGAGAGTATATTACTCGTTGGTGATAAATTAATATAATATATAACTGTGTTGATACTGGTGTTAATAAAAAACTACAATAATGGTGTCAAAACCTGTAAGTAACGAAAAAAATCAAAAAGAAAAAGAAGAACACAAAAAGAAAACTCCGCCTGGAATAGTTTCACGGTTACTATTCTTTTGGACATTTTCATTATTTTACAATGGAAATAGACGTGACTTGGAAGATGATGACTTAGTGCCTGCGAAAAGTATATACGACTCAAAAACAGTTGGAGATAAACTGGAAAGGTATTTAAGGATATATTTTTGTAAATAAAATCAATATATTACTATCTATGATTAAAATGAAAAAGCTTTTGTCGCTCATACGGTTTGAGCTTACATACTTGGACACAAAATTATAATTCAACTGCCTATAAAATCTTGATACATTCACATTTCTCTATATAGAAATTTAGTTTTGACCTTTTATTTTGTTTTGTCTTTTCACACTTAATATGGACCACACCGTTTAATTAAACTATTGTATTTCTATAATTTAGAGATTATGTTGTGAAAGTCATAGAATAAAATGAAAAAAAAAATAGGGTAAAATTAGTATAATAGACCACATTAAAGTCATTTTAAGTATTATATGATAAATGTTCTTATCTATAACATTTTATCTAGTATATTATCTAACATATAAAACCTAATCGAAATCTAATCACTTCCAACTCTTTTGTATAGTGATTTTAGATATTCTTTGTCTGTTATTGGGAAAGAATTTTTTGAATTAATAGGTTCTTTATGTTTCTGGAAAAAAAATCTGCAAAACAGGACCCAGTATAAAGTTTCCAATGAAAGAAGCTATTAAAGTTGTAAGAAGTTTTAATTAGTCGAAAAAGATTTTTTTATGAAAAGTACTTAAAAATAATATACATATTGCACACACTATCCTTCTAATTTAAAGTAGGCTAAAAAAGATAATATCAATAGACTAAAGATTTATATTACTTATAATCTCTTCTGGTGATAAATATTTTCGTTATAAAACCAATTACGTAATCTTTTACAATACCTAATACTTTAGGCAATAAAAATATAAAGTAACTTGTACATCAATAAATTTCCTATAGTTATGAAAAGGGACAGAGCTATCATGAATCTATAATTGTTTCAAGGAATTGTATCCATGAAATATTGACAAGAGTTCTTAAATTAATAACTACATAGATCAAAAACGAGAAAAAATTATGTCAAAATAGTATGTCAATTATGCCTTGCATAAATCTTATCTATCATAAAAGGTGTTTGAATAAATAAACAATGACTATGATGTTGTTTTACATACCGCAATCTGTAATGATACGTAACAATTTATATATACATAGTGGAAATATTTTATATTGTGAACTAGATTGAAATATCAACTAAGTAACGTAATGCGAACATTACTAATATAAATACAAACATACAATAAATTACAGTTTCTGATATATATCTCAATATTATTTAAGTTAAAGACAATATTGTTTATACGAATTTATCAATTTTTCCAAAAAGCAACAAATTTTTTACGTTTTGTAATTATAAAAAAAATTGTGGGACTAGTTAGATAAAGGCACTATCGGCTTATGTCGTTATAATCTTAAATAAATTCGTTGATAATTTTCTATTAAATCTGTGATATGGCAAATATTTTGTATTTTTAAATTTCATAACTTTGCTATAGTATGTTTCATAATACTAAATCATTATATTAGACTAGCTAATGCCCGTGCCTTATTTTGTACATGATAAGGCGAATATATTATTCTAAAACTTAATCTTCTGATCTACATTTTTTATTTTAGCTTAATTCACTGTTACCTTCATAATTATACATCCACAAACCTTTTTCTAACATATCTATATTCATGAACTTTTAAAGAGGTGCATCTCAGTTAAAATGATCCAATATGAAGATTTTCTTTTATAAATATTTATAAAGTAAAAGACCGTAACCCCAATATTTGTAATGTCATTGTGCTATCACATTTATTTTAATACAATGCGATTATGAGAATATATTAATTACAAGGCCTCAATTTGTAGCATTAAACGTTTATCAGCTATGAAAACAGTCTCGAAATTTACGTAGATAATTAGATTAATTGTTATAATATTCTTAAAGTGAACAATTGATTCAATAGTCCTTATTACTTCAATAAAACCGATACAGCGAATAATGTACAAATTTTATTTAAAAAAAATAGAAGAAAAATACCTTAAGTTCCTGTTAGTCGTCACAATTAATATAATGTTAATGAACCTAGAGGAAATACATTTTTTAAAAATTGTTTTTTTTCTATGTCTGTTAATTTAAATTAAATTTTATAAGATATATAAAGCGCTTAATGTTTAAAAACATGTCGTTGTCAGTTGCACATCGACCTTGAATTTCAGTGAAAAATGTTTCATAAATGAGCTTTTTCGTTAAAATAATAATATAACTATCATCTATTTTAAAAACACTAATGTAGTGAACATATGTATTAATGATATAATATTTAAAAATATTTTTTTTCTCACATTTAACAGTATTCGTAATTGCTAACGATTTTCTCAATTTAAAATTGCAATCAGTATCTTATCAAGCAATTTATCGATAAAAAGTATTATTTTAAGAATATGATCTCGATATCTTTATCCCAGTTCATACCCGCTAAGACCATACATTCAATTGGATACATAATATAAAATGAAACTAATATTTTCGGATTAGTTAGTGTTAGATATTACACCGCAATTTTAATAAAGAAGATGGCTGGAACCTATCAAACACCTGAGATCCTCTGCTTAAAAATATAAAATCCCATGTTCGTGACCACACCGCAGTACCTCGAGACACCGTGAGCGCATTCCGCCGGCATCCAGAGCGGTACGCTAGGAAATTACGAAATGGGGGTAGGTGATAAAATAACAAGACCGACTGTCAGACATTCACATTTCGTCTACCCGTGGTCACGATTACTGTAAAGTAACCGAAGCGTTGGGAGTATGTAGTTATAGTCAAAGAAAAACAACATCGCGTAGTAAATCCGAAAATATTACTTTCATTTTAAATGAGTACTCGTGAAAATCTTAGATCTCATTACATAATATAAGTTGTTGTAACCTTTCATTAAACTCGAGAATTATTGTTTAAAAAGGAATTCCATATTGATAAAATTTAAAATAATCTAAAGATAAAACATGCGCATTTTTTATTAAGGCTACTTTTCTAATATTAAATAAAAATTAATTTTATTTCCATAGAAAATGGTTAGAAGAAGAGGCAAAAGCAAAAGCATCTGGGCGTCAAGCTTCTTTTGCGAAGGTACTTTTCAAAACTTTCTTCTGGAGCTACATCCCGGGGGGCATCATGCAGTTATTGTACGTTGGTCTAAGGTACGTAAAATATATTTTATTATTAAACGTTTAGGATAAATAGATATTAAAAATTATAAAATATGTTATTTTTTAATTTCTTAAAATATGTAGTTTTGCATTCTCACCTTCAAAATACATACTTGTTCAACTGCATTAAAAAGGGTCTGTAAGTAAAAAAAATCAACAATGAAACTCTGAATGAACTCATCTTGTATTACATAAACAAACACGTTTCGTATCTCTTTTTGAGACTGTTGCTAGAATTTTAAATATTTTATAAAACATAACACTCAAGGAATCAATTAAAATATAAATAAAATTTGGGGAAGTATGTCTATGTCTAAGCTACAGACTGAATAAAAATTATGTTTTTGAATCTTAATGCTGACTGATGAAAATTAATGAATTCTGTTCATATATATTTTTTTGTTAAAATTAATTATTTAATCCTATACTTAGCATGTATCTGAATTCTTCTTGTGTTACAATATTGAGAACAGATTTAGACGACTCGGTGTGTTTTCCTTTAGGCAACAATTGACGATATATAAATATTCATTTCGCCACCGACTACAGTGCATCGTCAAAATTTTAATGACACAGTTTGTAACACAGATTCACTTCTTTATTTGTCGGTTCATCATTTTCTGCAAATTTAATTATTCTTTAATAACCAAAATTTTTTTATATTCATATTCAAAGTGTTATTAAAAAAATATTTACACCATTGCTAGTAGGTACAAGTGAAAATTAAAATGACATGTTTTAACTCTTAAACACAATATAAATCAGTTTATTTTTTCATAATCAGGACTGGTACACCGTTGCTGTTCGCCGAGCTTCTAAACTACTGGTCAGTAAACTCCACCATGACTCAGGATCGCGCTGCTATATTTGCTGGTAGCATGGTTTTAGCAAATTTAGCCTCAGCATTCTTTAATCACCACGGGAACTTTTATTGTCAGCAATTCGGCATGAAATTAAGAATTGCTACGAGTACTTTAATGTTTAGAAAGGTAAGCAACATTTATAATATATCTGTTTTTGAAAGGAATATTTTCTTTATGTGTAGCATTTTCTTAATACTATTTCTTACTTTACAGATAATGCGCATGAACAACGGATCTTTAGGACAAACGACGGCCGGAAAAGTAGTTAATATACTATCAAATGATCTGCAACGCTTCGATTTGGCGTTCCTCTTCCTCCATTATGTTTGGATCATACCTCTACAACTCGCGGCCGTTATATATTTGGGATACGTACAGGCTGGCTATGCGTCACTCATCGGTCTTGCTGCATTAATACTAATAGCACTACCCATTCAAGGTGAGCTATAATCGATACAAATTTTACATATATATGTATATCCTAGAAAATATAATGCATATACAAGTTAAAGTACCATGTAGGTCACGACCATGACTTAAAACTTACTATGTAATGTACATATATACGGAAGTCACAAGACAAGTTTTTATTCCTCTGCTTTCGTAGATGGAATTGTGTCATGTCAGTCCATTTAGATTGCTTAGTTCTTCATACAGGTATTTCTAAAGCGAAATGAATACTGTTCAAATGCTTTTCAATTACATTAAAAGTAACTGGTTCCTGCATTAGAACAATTTAATTTTGAAACTGCGATAACGGTCACAAATTAGTGTACCTTGATGAAGTACATATTTAACGAATAATAGTTAATTTAAATATGGTAAACTCTTCGCAGGTTATCTAGGGCAATTGGTCGGAAAGGTTAGATTCCGAACAGCTGAAAAAACTGACGAGAGAATCAAGGTTATGAGCGAAGTCATAAATGGAATACAGGTGACGTAATTTTTTTTAAGTATTATGAAAAAAAATCCGGATTACTTAAATTGTACTAAAATTGTTTGAGATTTTCACTTGTTCGCTCCTCGCTTTCATTGTTGTGGAGTATACATTTTTTATATAGAATTTTGTTTATCACTCAGTAATACTCTAATGGCATAGATAAAATTAGATAATGGTAAAATGTATTCACTATCGAATACTTAAATATGAATTATTGTAATAAGAAAGAGGCTTAATTATTCAATTAAATAATTCCTTTCCAATCATGTTTTATGACAAGAACACTTGTATTACAAATATAACAATATTTTTCGATATCAATAACTTCTTTAACTCTTCATTTTAAAAGAATATTATATATTCTTATTAAATATTTCATTTCATTTTTAATTTCGTTACGAAAATAAAAGAGAAACAAAAATTCATTTCAAATTTGTTTGATAATTTCAGGTTATAAAAATGTACGCATGGGAGATACCATTCCAAAAAGTTATAGGCGATAAAAGAAGAGACGAGCTTAAGGAAGTGAAATCGGCGACAATAATCAGAACAGTGTTTCTTGGTTTCATGATCTTCACGGAGAGAGCTACGATATTTGTCACCATACTGACTTATATATTGCTAGGAAATGTTCTTAGTGCTAACGTTGTGAGTATTATAAAATATTTTATCATAATATTGCCAACAACGAACTTATTACAAAACATCGCATTGAATAACTCCACATTAGACTTATTAGAAACATAAACTACATTGTATTCAATTTAATTCGTACATAAATATGTAAACATAACAAGTATAACCAAATTGAATAAAATACCTATTAATACTCTAATTATCACAAGTATCAGTCCTGTCTACACTTATACTGGTTCTAGTGTTAATGTACTACTATCTATGTACTTCAAACACTCCAGATATCTAGATATATCGGTCAAAAATCTTATTCCCATTGATATTATATAATAAGATGATAATATCTAAGATTTCGTGAGTACACACTTAAATAAAACAATGATTTGCTACTACTGGTATCTATTGTGAACCGACTTAAAAAAAGAAGGTTATCAATTCGTCTATACGTTTTCTTTAATTTTACTTTTTACCATGATAACGTATGTCGCGAACATAGTTTTATTTAATAAGACTGTGTCGTGTTTATTATGTGACTTTCATTCATATCTAATGCCATAACCGTTAAAATTTTGTTGTCGTTTAATTTGATCGTCACATAATCAGGTTGGTTTATTCTCGCCTGTAATTTATTTCCATTAAAGACCTTGACCATTTGATTATGTAAATCTAATGAAATGGATAAAATATTATTCAACTATAAAATAGACTACTTTGTTACTTTATCTATTAATTTTACTTATTTATTTATGCATTCATTAATTCATTAAATTATTTTTGAATTCATTTATTTATTTGTAGCACTTTATTGAAAAATACACTTAAAGAGTCAATTTAAAGAAAAATAAAACTCATCTTAATTAACCGAAATTACGAATTTCATATACTCATATTATGTACGTATTGAAGTCTTTATTCTACAGATTTTGATATTACAATGATTTTTATTAGACAAGCTTCACTACCTACAAAGAATAAATAAATGAAGCCAAACAATTTATCTTCATTTTAATGGCTTATTAATACCAAATTATATGAACTAATAATTTTGCAGATTTACCCATTGCAGCAGTTCATCAGCGCAGCGCAGGTTAATATTACTCTGATACTGCCTCTAGTTCTGTCATTTACAGCTGAACTCTTTGTGTCTCTTCGTAGAGTACAAGAATTTTTAATATTGGGTAAGAAACAACTGCAATCATTAAATATGTTTTCCAGTAGTTATATTCTCGTAATATTTATATAATTATGTCCTCATTTATATTATTTGCTTATAACATGATTTTATACTTGACATTGTAGAAACATTATTAAGATAAGTGCATATCTTTGCAAAGAGTATGATAGTATAAAATGTATGTACACTTGGATTAACAACTTTACAGTTTTCATAACTTTAGTTGTATAATAAAATGAAATTTAACATAGACCTGTTTGATAAGTTATATGTTTATGACACAAATAATATTACAATCACATAAAAATTGTTGTATAATATTGAGAATTTTATACAGAACACTGAGACATAAAAATTATCGATGGAATAAATTATTCACTTAAGCAATTGGCTTATAAATTGGTTATTATATAATTAGTATTTAGATGAAGTAAATCAAAACATATTTTCTTTGTAAATATACAATAATTACAAACTAACTATTCATAAAATTTTATACATATATTTTTTTATATTCGGTAAAAAAGTCCGGACCTCGTAAATATAAGCATATTGTTGTAAATGATAATTTTATAATAACATTTTTTCATTCCAGGTGACCGACCAGATTTAGTAATGGACATCACTAGTCCACGACAGTCCAAGTTGTTCAGGGATGTCAATGGTAGCTTCAAGGAGTCAAAGCTTTCACCGGTACAGCCGTTGTCTTATCACGTCACTTCAGACACTCGGGCCACAAACGGTGTCAATGGTTAGTCTCTAAAGCTTTTAAGTCTTTTAATCACACGTTTGTTGTATGTCTGAATTCTGAATGAATTCCTGCTAAATTTAGACCAATGTGTCCATAATAAATAAAATTGCAGGTGTTTTTTAATCATAGGAAAATTAAAAACGGTTAAGTCATATTAATGAAATTCCTGATTATTGAATTTTTCTACGAGTCCACGATTTTGAACTCGACACTCTTATAAACATAAGAATTATTTTATATAACAATACTTTATTTAGAAAACGTTCTATCTTCTCATGTAATATATTACTAAATTTCTAGATTTTGAAGAAAAATGTAAGAGTTAAATGTAACAGTTTATTAAATTTCACTAAAGCAACACAAGGCCACTTCGACTTAGCGCCATTAATCACCGGTTCGCTTCCTCGTTGCGATAAATATTTATGATGACGCATAGTTGTCGCAGTCTGGATGGGTTAAATATTTAAACACCAAAAATAGTTTGATATGATTCTCGCTTATCCATAAAATACCATTAAATGTAGAGATAAACTTCAGATAAGCGTCCAGGGCTAGTAAAAATCAATACTCTCAATATAAATTATTCATATATTCTATCGATTATTGATTTTTTAATAAAAATGATTTCAAAATGTATGAGTTCTGTAATATTTAAAATTATGACGCAGTCATGTTCAAAAGCAAACAAATAGAATCTAAATGGAGGTCCCTGAGAGCACGAACAACGTTTCTGTTTTCAAAGCGAAAGTTCAATTTTAAAAGTAATATCACCCTTGTTTGTTTCTAAAGAGGAATATTTTAAATGTGCATACGCAAAAACAAAGTGATTTTTCCTTCATCACTTATACTTATCTCCTTTTTGTTAACAAAATAAATTTACGATGTTACAATAATGGGGGATATTTGATATTAACATTTTAAAAAATCTTAGTTATATATTCAGCGTCTTAGAGCTAGGCAAAAGTACATATTCTAGATAGTAAAGAAATATCACCTTTTTTACTTTTATTATAATTAAACACAAAAATATTGTTACAGGTTCTATACGAAGGAGATACCGTAGAAGTCTTTCTCAGTCTAACGATACTGCTGTTGAAATAAGAGATGTATCAGCTAGTTGGATAGCTGATCCCAACTTCCTCGCTCTGAAAAGTATTTCTTTAAGAATCCGCAGAGGAAAGCTGTGTGCAATCATAGGAGCTGTTGGATCTGGAAAAGTAAAATTAATTATTTAACTAATAAGTAGTAGTACCGAATACAACTGTACGTATATTGCATATATATGTATATGTAGCTATATAGAAACTCTAATATGTATGACTTATATAAGCTGACGCTTTTCTTTGTGTAAATCAAAACGAGAAGCCTCAACCAATATTTATTTTAAAAGAAAATAACTTGAATTAAGTCAACTTGATGAACAATTTTTATTATTATACTGGCAGTACATATTCATATACTAAATAATAATATAAGCTCTTACACAAATTGCCATATTCCCACAAGTGAGTAATATGTATGACGTGTCATGACATTTATATGCATATGAAAATGCAAAACATCATCCAATCTGATTTCAAATTAGTCTGCAATGTCCTTTAGCATAAATGTAATTTACAGAATGTGGAATACCAAAACTTATTTAACTATTCCGCGTAGTTTTGTATAGACACGCCCATGAGGTTCTCTTTGAATTTAGATTATTCTAGAAGGATATGAGGCATTTCGTAACTGTTAATGAAAAATAAGTAACATGAGCACTCATCTTAATTACAGTTCTGATTAGGAATGTTCGTAAAAAATATTATTTTAAATTAATGCATTATAACTTACTCTCTTAGTAAAAATAATAATAATAATACTTCATTTCATATTTTATTTTGACAATGTTCTAAAAAACAGAAGCAGAACTTCTTAAGAGCTAGTAGGACGCATTTTATAATATGTGTTCGATGAAGGTCAAAGCAAATTGGATGTTCGTTATGAAGCGATCGTTTATATAATCGATAGGCTTTGCAACTGTAAAATATATTTTGACTTTCTTAGTAATATGATAGAAATCTAATAATCACTTCATATTATATCAAGTCTTCTTTAAAATCCTTTATCCAACAGTAATTTTGTCCAACATCATAACAAAAGTAAATCTCTTCCAAACTATTTATTGTAAAAAATAATAATATGAACATAGTACATAATTTCATAAAAAAAACTCTCAACCTAAAGTATAATTATTGAATGTAGTCTAACATGCACTAGTATCATATTCAACACATGTGTTATTAATATAATTGTATTCATACAATGTTGAACTTTATAAATAATTTATAGTAATAATAATATTTTAATAACATATATGTCATAAAAGTTATCAGACCGAGACAGGATCAGTGATAATTTTGTATTTACAGTCGTCTATTTTACAACTGCTGCTCAAAGAATTGCCAGCGGCAGTTGGCAGCGTTTCCGTGTTTGGCGATGTTTCTTACGCCTGCCAAGAGGCGTGGCTCTTCCCTAGTACTGTTCGGGAAAATATTCTGTTCGGTCTACCCTACGACAAAGAAAAATATAGGAGGGTATGTATCCGCAATCTACTAAATATTTAAATCAATATGTTGTTACACTATCACAAAAATACTACATACAGAAGTGGTATGGAAAACAATTGCGAAACAAAAACAGAAAGCTTATATACAACCGCAATAGTCCACTATAAACAAACAAACTTAATAACGTTAATTAGAGAATAGTTATTTGCTATGTAAATAGTTTGCGTCGCTTGAGTTACCAGTAAATGAGTATGCGAAAGTATTTCAAACGAAAAAGAAATTTATTCCAGGTATGCAAAGTATGCGCTTTGGAGAAGGATTTCAAGCAGTTCCCTTACAGCGACCAAACTCTAGTAGGGGAGAGGGGGGTGTCGCTATCAGGGGGACAGCGCGCCCGAATCAATTTGGCACGAGCTGTATACAGAGAAGTAATTGATTTTTTTATTTTTGGTACTAACAATATAGCCATGTGTTGAACGCTCGCAATTTCGTTTCTATTGAATTCGTGTTAGCTACATAGACCCTCCGTTACTAACATGGATAGCTTTTAATAGCTTACTTTTACTTCGGATAATCCGTCGTGAAAGTAAAAATATTGCTTTGATTCACATTTTAATAAACAAAGAATACTATTGTATTAACTTTAAGAATCAAAACACACATCTGTTTTTTCTTAAATATAATGTATGTAAGAGAATTGAATAATGAATTACAGATTTATACTTTAATTATATGTGATAACTTTAACAATTTCAGGCTGATATTTACCTACTCGATGACCCGCTATCAGCAGTGGATGCAAATGTTGGACGCCAACTCTTCGATGGATGCATTAACGGATACTTAAGAGGACGCACCCGCATCTTAGTAACACATCAAATACATTTCTTGAAAGCCGCTGACTATATCATCGTTTTAAATGAGGTTTTAAAAACATCGACATTATTTTTTAAGGAAACTTAACTTATACTGTCGGTCAGACCTTATATATTTAATCTAATTACAGGGTGGTATTGAAAATATGGGTACATTTGATGAACTTGTTTCATCGGGTAAAGAATTCGCTATGATGCTTTCCGCATTGCAAGAAGGTAAAGACAAAGACAGTGACAGCATTAATTCAGGGGTAAGTTGTTATTAATTTTTATTTATATATGTATGTAATCTCAAGTACATATAAATATATTTTTTATCTCTTCATTATAAACTTAGAAATCCGATGACAAAGAAAAACCAGCATTGTTAAGAGCGATATCAACTAATGAAAGCGAAGATATACCTCAGTTTGAAGAGCAGAAAATGGCAGCAGAAGAAAAACAATCAGGAAATTTACGATGGGACGTTATTTACTCTTACTTCACCTCTGGTGGAAACATTTGTTTCATACTATTTGCAATGTTCATGATAGTACTTGCGGCTGCGAGCGCAGCCGGTGCTGACTATTGGATTAGTTTTTGGTGAGTTTTGAAAAACAGCTCAAAAATATTTGAACATTATTATTTATTAATTGAGATAGACTTAGTTTGTATCAAAATACAATGACATCTTTTGTTCTTTAGCAAAAATATATATAAATGTTCCTATTTGTTGTTTATAACTATACACTTGACCTTTTGAGTGCACAAGCTAAGAAAACAATACGATTCCCTTCTGTTTTGACCTTAGCTCGCGTTTAATTTCAAAAATGTAAAAGTTTATATGTCCGTGAGATCTCTGTTAGAAATATTTCATTACTGTAGAAAGCAATAACCTTTCTTTGTTTCCAAAGGTCAAATCAAATGGCTGCTTTCGAAGAAGAAAGTGGCGGTGCGGAACTGGGTAAGTAAAAATGAAGAAATGTAACTAACTTCATTACTTCATAGCTTTCAAAAACTGTCTAATAAATATAAGCATCACAAGTAGAAGATAAGCTATTGAAAACTTTTTAAGATAAGCTATTGAAAAGGTTTTTACTACTTCTATTTATACATATTTAAAATGTATAAAACTAGTCTAAAACTTCATAGTAAAACAGCAACACTCTCAAAAGTGAAATAAATTTATTGTACATTAAAAATATTTTTTAGTATAAATAATCATTATATAATCAAATATATTAAGTATAAATTTTTCTTCCAGATCCGGGACTAGATGTCCAAATTGGTCCCTTTACAACTGGCCAGTACCTAATCATTAGTGGAGCTATAATTATTACTTGCATTTTACTCACTCATGTCAGAGTTGTTCCATTCGTTAGTCTGTGTGTGAGCGCATCGCAAAAACTGCACGACAAAATGTTCTCTACCTTACTGAAAGGAATCATGCGTTTCTTTGATACTAGCTCTTCAGGTAAACATTGAATCGTTGCTATTATACTGTAGCCATCTACTAAATAATTGTTATATTGGTTTGTTTATATAATTCTAAAAAAACTTTTAATTTACTAATCAAAATTGTTTAATTTTAGGTCGTATCTTGAATAGATTTACAAAAGATATGGGAGCGTTAGACGAGATTTTGCCGCGCACGCTATTAGATGTGTTCCAAATTTATAGCACTTTATTATTCATATTAGTACTAAACGCCATAGCTTTGTATTGGACACTTATACCTTCAATAGTCCTACTGATATGTTTCTTCTTCTTTGTTAAGTTGTATTTGAAAACGGCACAAGGTGTCAAAAGATTAGAGGGCACAAGTAAGTTAAATTATAGATACTATTCTACCCAAATATTTTGATAAAAATTCATTAAAACAAGTGCAATATAATAAATAATTCTTTTATTAAATTTTAGCAAAAAGTCCTGTTTTTGGTATGGTAACATCATCTCTTAACGGAATTGCTACTATTCGATCTGCCGGCGCACAAAAAAGACTGATTGATGATTTCGACACTCACCAGGTATATATTATTGAGTTTACTTTACTTAGTAACGATGTTAAAAATATCTTATATTTATTGAAATATAATCAATTATGAAAATTTATGATTTTGGCTTAAGTACTTAAATCTTATAATACATTTCATGGACAAGGTTACATATATGTACTTTTGGTTTTGTAGGATCTACACACATCAGCGTGGAATTGCTATTTAGGCGGTGGATGTACTTTTGGATTCTACTTGGACGCCATGTGTCAAATGTATTTGACTGTTATCACTTTTGTATTTTTATATATAGATTTTGGTAAGGAAATACTTATATAAAGTCATATATTACTTAATGTATTACTTTAGATAACAATGTTATGCTCCTCTCTTAATATCAGGTGACTTGATTGCTGTTGGTACCGTTGGTCTAGCAGTGACACAAAGCAATATGTTGACTGCTATGCTACAGCATGGAGCTCGTATGCTTGTAGAATTTCTCGCACAACTGACTAGTGTCGAGAGAGTTTTGGAGTACACACGTATAGAAACAGAGGAGAATCTCTTCGAGGGATGTAAGTTTAATTGTGCTAAATTATTAGTCAAGATGATGTGAAACTGGAGCCAATTTACAAAGAGTAATGTAAAGTTGAATAATTAATAATTGTTTCCTTAACACTTTAGTGCAAACAGTACCATCCGCGTGGCCGAATCAGGGGAGAATTGAATTTCAAAACGTTTACCTAAAGTATGCACCTGATGAAGCACCCGTTCTTAAAAACTTGAATATTACCATAGAAAGTGGATGGAAGGTAAGAAAACTGACATAAGAAAAATATTAAAAAAATAAGGTTTTTTCCTCTTTCTAATTTTTTGTGTTTAATAGGTGGGCATCGTTGGAAGAACTGGAGCTGGAAAATCCTCATTGATTTCAGCCCTATTTAGGTTTGCCTACATCGATGGTAAATTAGTAATTGATGGAATCGAAACATCATTAGTAGCTAAACAGGTGTGTATTATTTTTTCTTATTTACATACTAAATAAAACAACAAAAAAAAATATGGAATAAATAATCGATTTTTATTTTTCAGAATTTAAGATCCAAAATCTCAATAATTCCTCAAGAACCAGTTCTATTTTCTGCTAGTATCAGATACAACTTGGATCCTTTCAACATATACAGCGACGAAGAACTCTGGCGAGCTTTAGAACAGGTTCATAAATTTATGCGATCGATTATGATTATTTATACTAATAAGGACATTACATGTGTCACCAACAATACAAACCTTTTTCCACTTTATTGAGAGGATATTTTTTTAAAGGTTGACATGAAATCTGCTGTCCCGTCCTTGGACTTTAAAGTAACAGAAGGAGGCTCTAACTTCTCAGTTGGTCAACGCCAACTTATGTGCCTGGCCAGAGCAGTTTTACGTTCAAACAAAATATTAATTATGGATGAAGCCACTGCTAATGTCGATCCCCAGTAAGTCGAAATTTATCTTAAAAATAATATTTATTAAATAGATTTAAATCATTAAGTTACATTCCTGTGATGTTTTTTTTTTTCTTATAACATTTTTTTTTCTCTGTAGAACCGACAATTTCATACAACAGACGATTCGTCGTCAATTTTCGGAGTGTACAGTGCTGACAATTGCCCATCGCCTCAACACGATTATGGACTCCGACAAAGTCTTAGTCATGAGCAGTGGGGAGGTCGCCGAGTTTGATCATCCGTACAACCTACTCTCAGATCCGGACAGTGTATTTTCTTCCATGGTCAGAGAAACTGGAGAAAAGAATAGCCAAGTCTTATTTGAAGTCGCCAAAGAAAGTTATTTTCAAACGAATGTCAAAGAAAGTGATAGATGAAACAGAAGATAACTAAATCAGATAAATAAAATAATCCACATATTTGTAAATATAAGGTCACCTTGACTTCAAAGGGTACACACAAATTTTAAATAATACAACTGTCGGATCAAAACGTTCTCTCGAATGCTGATATTGTATTATGAAATTGTGACTGAGCCTGTAATATAGTATATATAATAAGTAAAATGATAAAATTACTACCATTACATTTTCTAAGATCGTTTACCTTTTGTAATATATTATTTTATAAAATAAAAATAAAACTTTTTTACCTTTTCCCCATTATTTTCAATAATTATAAACAAATAATTCTTCTCCTCGGGTGCCGGCAACGGAAGACCTTGTATGCTAGTACAGTGGCTATTAGACACAAAAGAATAAAGATTGCCTGAATTTTATTTTCTTCTAACAAACTACGCAACGTTTTGGTGCATGTCGGTGAACAACCCATTTTCAGTTAATAATTAGCTCCAATTTTATTCCTGAATCAAATCTGAAGGTTTAACATATGATAAATAACTGTAATTAAATGGTTTATGATTTCATATACGTTCCGTTAATAAATCGAATAAAAAGATTTACCTTATCATTTACCTGCGGTGGCACTGCCGGCACTGATATAAGGACCAGGATAGGTATAAAATCAACATTATCAGCAACCCCGACACATAAACAACATGATTCTCATTGAAAATAAAAATAGGTTTTGGAGTATTATCATTTTGGACCATTTGGATTTTAACAGTCTCAGGGCATTCCATTTTAAGTGATTGTTATCCTATGGGCTATTTTAAAGATATGTTTAGATTTGTTTTGCGTCCCATTGTTCCAAAAATTTGACTGATGTTCTGTGACATTGCAACAACAGTGTATGTTCGCTATGTAATTGTGTCAGATAATAAAAAGTAATTAATGCCAAAACGCATTCTTATTTGATTTCACATAGAAACTTCTTGATTAAAAATTAAATAAAAAATTGCTCAAACGAGTTCTGCAAAGTATGAAATGGGACGTTATTAAATATTTGATTAAGAATTTAAGTAAAAAATGTCTGTGATCTGAGACTGCTTATGTTCTCTCTCAAAGGGGCTTTCAAAACTGGTGAGGGTCGACGAGTGTCGTTTGAGTGGAGTGTGACAAGGTACGCGGGATTAAAAATTTCTAAAATTGAATCCATTATTTTCACTATTAATTGAATTTGCATATTCGTACAGACTTTAACAATGAATCCGTAAATGAAAACTAAAAAAAATATTGATTCGATTCGATTTTCTAAAGAAAGTGATAATTAATGAGAAAGGTACACAATAGTAGACTCAAAAATACATACATATATTCGACTCATTTTTCAAAAATACATACGATTAGAAATTTTATCGCGTTCAAACTTATATTTTGCTATTTATTTTGTTAGGGCTTATGTATATATATATATATATATATATATATATATGTATATATATATATATATGTATATATATATATATATATATATATATATATATACAACTATTATATTTTGTAAATTATCCATGATAATAGTATATTAATTATTTTTTAAATACACAAGTACTATTGAAGATGCATATAACTTTATATATTTTTATAGGAATCCTGAATGTCAGAGGCTTATTTAAGTCAAGTTGCACAAAGTTTTATTTTATAACAAGTGTATATTAGAAGCTCCACAAGACTCTTTTTCATATTTCCTCATCAATTAACAATCCTCAGGAATTGTCGACACTGTTTCTTAAAAGGCTACGTGTAATCCTTAATTATATTTTTATGCGTTTTAACCATTCAGCTTACACTTTCTGCTCATGTAAGTGTATTGTATGAAAAGCAGATAATTCATTTAAGATTTCAGAAACTTTAACATATTGCAAGGTTTTTTTATGTACAAAAATAAGATATCATAAGAAACAAAGCCTTTTTAATTGTACAGGTCTATCTAACATTTGCAAACATGATTCCGTAAAGCCATATTGTCTTCCAGATTGTCACACCCGTTAGCAAACTGGATATGCATGTTCAAGGACATTGTCACCATAAGCTCATGTCAGGGTTACTTATAAATAAGTTTACCTACATATTTTTGACATTCATCATATAAATATTAAGCACAATTCAAAGGTTTTTTATATAATCTATTATAAATTATATATTGACAATAGTCTTCCTTTATACTATGTATAACCTACTCGAATGAGTATGTAATAGTATAAAGGTATGTATGTATGAGTATTACCTTCTCAAATGAGAATGACTTAGAAATATAATTATGTACAAGAGCCCTATAGTGTAATTTAACTCACTCTTATATTTAGATCACAATATCAACAGCTTGACTAAAATATTTACATCGTTGCTTAGCGTACGAGAAGTTAATCTGTGAAAGAGAGATCTAATCGTGTTGTAAAATAAATCATAAATGTGTTAACTAGATAAGAATATATCTACGAACATTAATCAGTCATGATGTATGTAGACCCCAGAGTTGAATTTTATTAAATAAGTTACTATAATCCAACTTAATTATAAATTTGTTTTTTATAAACTAATTATTTAAATAAAATTATATAGTGTCGTCGTATCGTATGGTGTGGATGTAATAAGCAACAGGTTTTATTTAATACATTATATCAATAATAAAACCAAAAGCTGTTACTTATTACATATATACAAACTACGATTGAACTGATTGAGTTACAAAATCTCATATAAAGTTTTATAAAGCGGTTACATTTAAATTGTCTTACTTTTGATTGAATATTTGTTGCTATAAAATCCATGAATTTCTGATAAGTATTTCAAGATATCCAATAGACATTTCCTTTCAGACAAATTCCAATCTGTTAAATATTTATATCGTGATAATATTCATGTATACCTATTTTATACTACATAATTGAATGAGAGTTACAAAGTGTGACAATCGTTATCGACTTGTTAATTATTTAACACTACATAAAATTACACATTTGTGCCAACGAGTCTATTAAATTCCATTTATTTATTCTATTACATAGATATATAAATAATACAGAACCATATACATAGTTTAAAACATATAGTTTATGCACGATTATAAAAAATCTTGAATGAAAACTTATCTAAAAACACTATTTGGTTTATGATATAGTAGAATAAAAAATATTGCTGAGAACTATCACGTGTTTTTCTTTTCTTTTATGCAGAAAAAGAACAACTGACAAAACAACAAATAAATATATAAATCACCAACGGAATCTACCGAAGCTTTTCCTGTTGCAAAAAGCAATTAAGGTTACAAATTCTAATCATCCGTATTATTGGTTTGGCAAAGAATTTTAGCCAATCGTATATAAATTTGTGGAGGGTTTTTTAAGCATACCTTGGATTAAATGCTGATGATAAAAGTAAAAAAGACCAAACGAATTTTCTTATATCAAAAATGTCACCTGCATGTGGAATATTCTAATTGATAGGTCTGTATTTTTTTAAATTATTTGGTAGTGGAGCTAAATCATCAGTATGAATAGAAAAAGACCTTGAAAAGAATCTGCTCCAAATAAAGCTTATTAATATCTTTAGATTAGATTCTAGTCTTTCAATCAAAATAACTAATCATTCAATCTTTTTAAGATACCCGATTACTCATGTACAGGAACAATCTACATAACTACCTACTAAAATAACTTTTATATTCCGTAGTAGATAGCAAATATTTTACAATATAAACAACAAAGGCTGATTCACTTTTTAATCCTAATTATAAATTATGTAAGATAAGATAAACTTTAAAAGATGGTAACGATAACAACTATTATTTTGTTATTATTTTCAAATTTTTATTGATCGATATTAATAACAATTTTTTTATATATAAATAATATTTTGTATATAAGAAAGGATTTTAATATAATAGAAACTATGATTACACAAATAATTATTTAATTATATAATCAAGTAATCACATAAACACATTATCACCTCAAACTATCACATTCGATCTCGCAAAAGGAACAAAACATATCAAAATATATTTTTTTAGTTAATCTTAATTTATATAATTAATAAATTAATAATTATTACTGTTATTTTTTTACCTATTCTACATTTCATTATAAATCACTTATATACAATTCTTACAAATCGTCATAATAATCACTTTCTTTCATATTTTTTTAATTCATTAATAGTTTTATTATGTAAAAAATCAAACTATTATATATAGACGACGAATTATTTATCCTTATAGATCGCGTCACTTTGGCTATAATACTTTGTTTTTGCTGTTTCATAAAGTTGATTACTCATTGACTCCCCAGTTTCTTTGACCATAAAGTTCAAATGACTTTGGGGGTTTGATAGGAGTATGAAAGGGTGATCGAATTCCGCCATCTCTCCTTTGTCCATGACTAAAATCCTATCAGAATCCATAATTGTGTTAAGCCGGTGAGCTATGGTTAATACAGTGCATGAGATAAATTCTTTTCTTATCGTCTTCTGTATTAGAGCATCAGTCCTGTGAAATACATCATAAAACAAATTACCTCTTTTGTTAAAAACAAATTTCATCCAATAAAATAATCAACTTAAAAACTAAAATGTTACTTGTGTGCTAAAAATACACTCAAAAATTTAAATTATTTTCGTAACATTATTTAAGACTTAATACATTTATAATACTCGTAAATAACTATACATTTATTCGTATATTTACGTATCGCATTGTTTTATGTTGAGTTTATATATTGATAGCAAAAAAATTAAAAGAAAATTGGTCAATATCTATGTATGAAGGGGTTTGCTGAGGTTTACTATTACGGTATTAAATAAAAAGTGTCAAGGTTGAGTAATTAAATTTGACAATACTCACTGAGGATCAACGTTAGCTGTTGCTTCATCCATGACCAGTATTTTGTTGGAGCCCAGGATTGCTCTCGCAAGACATACCAACTGTCTTTGACCAACAGAGAAATTAGCACCACCTTCAGATACTTGGAAGTCCAAAGCTTGTACCGAATCTTTTAATTCCACCTATGATAATGTTTAAATTATGATTACATAATAGATAGATATAATTATACTATTGCGACTTTTAATTTTGTTCCAAGGACTATCTCCCCAGTTATCATTATATGTATTATATATTAATATATATAAAATTGTATTAGATTTTAATTTTAAAAAATGTATGAAGAACATCACACTATATCAATTCACTTACTTGTTCCAGTGCTCTCCAAATCTCATCATCGCTATATTTATTAAAAGGATCCAGATTGTACCGTAGACTCGCAGAAAATAATACCGGCTCTTGTGGAATGATCGATATCTTTGATCTTAAATCCTGTGATACAAAATTTACAATGTATTAAACAATCTGATTGTCCTAACTAAAAATTCTTTTAAAATTTCACTGTTTTATTGTTGTTCTTATATCACTTACCTTTTTTGACAGACAAACAGTATCTATTCCGTCTATTTTAATACTACCCTCGATATTTGAAAGTCTAAACAGAGCTGAAATCAACGATGATTTGCCAGCTCCTGTTCTGCCAACGATGCCAACCTAAAAATTCATAATGTTATTCACACCGAGCCTACAAAATTTCTATTTAAATACGAGCTATTAAAACGGATATTATTTACATTCCTATTATATCGTAACGTAAATATCGTATTTTTAATCTTTATTACACAACCAAAATGTTTTTGTAGTTTTAAAGTTATATAATTGCCGAACATATAAAACAATGTGTTTGTAGACGATTACAGTTATATTATGATTGGGTTATTTGTATAGTTTTGAGCAGATTTTTATATTTTTTTCTATTTTACCTTCCACCCGCTACGTATGATAAAGTTCAAATTCCTTAGAACGGGTGGATCTTCAGGTCCGTATCTCAAAGTAACATTTTCGAAGCGCACTTCCCCGTTTGATGGCCAATTATTGGGCGGTGGAGCTAAAAATATATGTATCCAATTTTGAGATAATATTTAGTTCAAAACAAACATTAGTTTTTGAGTTTTTATGTATATGAAATATCCTTATAATGTTTGGTACTTACTACCATCCTCCATGTTTTCTTCAGGAGGTAGACGGCTGTACTCGAGAACTCTTTCCACAGCTGTTAAAGTTCCTAACAGCTCTGATGTACCACGAGCTGCTGTTTGTAACATCATTGTCAAACTCATAGACTGACTCACTGCCAGACCAACGCTACCCACCTCGATCAGATACCCTTAAAAAATTATGAAATTATCACAAATATTCAGTATAAAGTAACCGTTTTATTGAAAAGATTAACGTCATTATATTTTGCTTTGATCTTCTTACCAAAATCTATCAAGATGAAAGTTGCAAATAATACTCCCATATAGACAAGACATAACATATCCAAATATAGACAGAAAGCCACTGAACAGCCAAAATATGTGAATAGTGCTTGAGAATTGAGATCCTGAAAATATATATATTTATTTATACATGTTTCGGATAATTGTGAAGTATAATTTATATGTAAAACATATTATTTAAAAAAACATTAGCATTAAAAATATTGCTAAACTCGATGTTAAGGTGTAAACTAACCTAAAATGTAAATAAGATTTATTAATTTTATATAAATAGACGAGTTTTAAAATAACTGATGTGACTTATAAACTGAAATTCCATCTGGTTCATATCAGTTTACTAGCATTTTGTGGTCATATGTTTTAAATATTTCTAAATAGACATATCGACTTAATTAAATGATGGAATTAAATCTCTCAACACGATAAGCCTTGTCTAAATGACTCAGTGTTTATCGTCAGTATAAAAAAATACATATTAGATAAAAGGAGATAATAAATAAGTAGATTGTAACGATGACAATTAAATTTTTACTAAGATACAATTGTATTCTCCTTGGTTTCCTCCGTATTTTTACGTTCATAAAATATTTTTTATTTTTTCATCGTATTTTATGCATCCAATAAAATATATAGAAATAAAAAAAAAGGTTTGAAGTACCGCAAGCTATACATGAGATTTTGAATATAAAGTGTATAAATAAAAATAAAATTAGGCACTTTATTTGATTACCTGAGTATCATCAAATTTTTCTAGCAACATGTTTTGAGAATTGGAACTTCTAACAGTTGTTAACCCATTCAGCGTTGAATTTATCATACCAAACACGGGACTCTTAGCTGTAATAAGAATTTTATGAAAATATTGATATTAAATAATTAAAAAAACATACATTTCAATCTCTAAATCTTCTATACAATAAAAGCACTCAAATTAATAAACAGATGACAAAACATTTTTCGTAATTAACATTAAATAATTCATGTGTATTATATCAAAATAACAATGTTATAATATCACGTTGCTTACTTGTGCCTTCCAATCTTTTGATCGCCTGCGACGCATTTAAATACCATTTAAGTAAAATTATAAAAACTCCTAATAGAATAAAAGTGGGTAACAGAGTCCACGGAAGAGCGATGGCATTTAAAAGAAGAGCACTTAACACAAACAGATACATTTGAATAGCTTCAAATAGTGTACGTGGTAAGATCTCGTCCATTGCGCTCAAATCCTTAGCAAAACGATTTAGAACACGACCTAAAATGAGAAATATTTTTAAATATTATTCAATGTACTGATTTAGTGAAAAAAATAAGCCACATGAGAAAAAAATGCTAGATAAAGTTGTTTTAAAGTGTTTGAGTATTTTATTACCTGAAGGATTTGTGTCAAAGAATCTCATCACGGCTGTTAGTAAATTCTTAAACATTATATTATGAAGATTCTGCGACGCTCTTTTTGATAGTACAACAAAAGCTAGAATCCTAACGTGTGTCATAATTATTATAAACAATATTAAACCACCAAATATCCACAAGTACTGGCCAGTTGTTAGGGGTCCAATTTGTGTTTCCAAACTAGGATCTGGAAAAAAATATAACTTTAGTTCTTAATATAACCCCCTACCTCTAATTAAATGACTCTACTTACCTGGTAGAATACCTTCTGGAAGAGATTTTATATACTCATCAATTTGGTTTGTCCTAAAAAATAATATAAAATTAAAACCAATTAATTATTAAATATATCATCAATAACGTAAAATAAAACAATTCCTGTGAAACATACCAGAAACTAAGCCAATAATCGCTGATAGTTGCAGCACCTTGCGTCAGCAGGAGGGCAAATATTGTTAGGAAGACTACGAACCAAGACTCTACCCTTTTCATGTATTGTGCAATCACGCTCCATTTTAAGTTTCCTTTAGCTCGTTCTTCAGCTTCCTGGATTTGTGCTCTTTCTTCTTCAGGATTATCATCGCTTCTAACAGATATCATAGATATACTATGTTTTACAGGTGGCCTAGCTTCAACCTGTATCGACAAAAAAAAAATATTTGTTCTATTAGATAATGGCGTTTGGCTGGCATTTTAAGAAATTTTTGGATTATTAATTGAAGTTATATCAGAGTATATAATAATTTATTTTTATAAAATATATTTCAATATTAGTTCAGACGGTTCAATGATTTGTTATCAACAGCACCATTGCTGGTGACTTTATTTTAAGATAACAATATCTTTACTTGTTCTTTATAAAATGAGTATTTTTCCTAAAAAATAATAAAGTACATAAAAATAGGTGACAAACCTTTTCTGTCTTTTCTTCTTTGCTTTCCATTAAACTTGAGAATACCTTTTCAGATCTTACTAAGTCATTGTAAGTTCCGATATTTTTAATAGAACCCTGAAAATAACACACTTGATAGACATAAATCAATTTATTTAATAATAAAATCTAGGAATATGATTTTCATACCTCATCAACAACGATAATAAGATCGGCGGGTTTCAGTAAATGTATTTGGTGAGTTACAAGAATACGCGTTTTACCATTTAAATATCTTTGTATGCAATTCTCAAAGAGCATTCTTCCAACATTTGCATCCACAGCTGAGAGCGGATCGTCCAGTAAATATATATCACTCTAAAACGGTAAAAGCTAAATTAAAATAATATTTGTATTTATAATATATTAACATAAGTTATTCAAAATAAATCAAATATCTACAATTAATATTATTTGACTATAAACCAATGTTTCTAAACTATAACTCCAAATAGTTAATACCATAGGAATGTAATACGTTTGAGCTTTGAAAAATCTAACTAATTGGTTTTAATGGAGGATAGTATGGAATAGTATCATATGGGATATTATTTGAAACTTTCAGATTCCCTATTCTTTAAATCTTTGTCAAAATTTTATAAAAGAATACATTCTTTTAACTATTTTTGGAATACCTTCAAATATTCAAATCACATCGTACACAACCAACTTGGGATTCACGTTAGCACAAAAATAAATTTGTAATACTCTTATAAAACTTTCAAACTAAGTTTCATAATAACAAAAATTGTTATCTTGATCGAAAAAAAGCAGGAATCAAAACAAAAAACTGATTGAGATAAAATATCGATTTCTAACTTTAAGCAATAATATAAGTCACTTTTCATTGTGAATTATGAATATTTTTAACTCAAGTGTAATTTTTTTATTGTAAAATACAAATCGCTAAAATTCTGTAATGATTACAGACAACGATACACTGCTGACTTTAAAAAAGAACTTAATTTTCTTTCTCTTAAAACTGGTGTAATCATAATTTTTCTCTTACAGAATATAAGACTATGTGGTTACCTCTCTGTAAATCGCTCTGGCTAAATTAATTCTCGCCCTCTGACCTCCGGATAAAGAGACACCTCTTTCTCCGACTAACGAAAGATCACCATAAGGAAACTGCTTGAAGTCGGGAAGTAACGAGCACACCTTGCACACCTTTGGTAATACATTAAAAATTATATATCATAAATCGATGCTTATTCATCCAATATCTTATTAATCAACAATAACATACCCGTTTATATTTTTGTGCGTCATAGGGTAAGCCAAAAATAATGTTTTCTCGAACAGTTTGAGGGAACAACCAAGTTTCTTGACAAGCGTAAGATATGCTTCCGTTTAAATTAAGATGTCCGCTACTTATTGGTAATTCTCGAAGTATTACATGCAGCAAAGAAGTCTGCAAATTATTAATAAAAATTAAAATAAGAAAGATTTAATGAACTCAAAATATAAAAAAATTACATACTTTTCCCGAACCCACGGGCCCAACTACGGCAACCAACTTTCCCTTCGGCACATTTAAAGTGACATTTTTAAGAGTCATATCTTGAGGATTTTTAGTCGAAACCCAAGATGCATTGACCTTGGAAAGCTCTATGTCATTTTCATTTTCATGTGGCGCATACGAATCAACTGTGTAGTGAAAATTAATAATTAAGACATTTAAATATAAAAAAATATGCATATTTATGTCTATATATAAAATTGTTCCTACAATCCATGTTGTTTTTTTGTTTAGATTATTTTTATTTCTTATTCATTTTTGAGTATTACCTGTTGAATTAGTTTTCTCTAGTGGCGAAGAATTTTTTAGTGACATTATGTTCATATCACCAGTGGTAGAAAACTTTTTATAAATGCCGTTAGCGGGTAATATTGCTTGTGGCAAAACTTTTATATCTTCCTTCTCATCTAAAAAAACATAATACTTTATTTTTTATATCCAAAATGGAATAAATATAACTATAATGTTGTTTCTTAATGATATATGAGATAAATTTTGGATGAACCGTTACATCTGTTTACTATTTATAACCATGTACGAGTATTTAACTACTCATAAATTGAATAAAAGAAAATAAAAATGTACGTACCCAAAACAAGAATGCTCTGTATACGCTGTAATGATACGAGTAACTCTGATAAACCAGCAATAGCTAGTGGCATCATAAAAGTAAAATTTATCTGTATTATACCTAAAAATGATTTAATAGGGTAAATCTGAAAAAGAATGTTTAAAGTAAATTAGTATTAATATTCCGAAAAAGCTTAAAAAGAGAATTTTAAAAGATTGTTACAAAATAAAATCGACTATACCGTGTCAGCGCTTAGCATTCCGCCGGTAAGAATTATAGTTAGAGATGTTATAAATATAATAGCCCTCTCAGAATACATCATAAATCCCAAAAACACGCTTCTGACAAAAACAGCCTTGCTTAGCGCAACTAATTCGAAGGCTCTTACACCTTGGACAACCTTCTGAAATGACTTCTCCCAGGCGTACATTTTGATGACCTACAGAAAGGTGAGTTAGTTATAAACAAAGAAAGCATTTTTATCACTAATACTTTGGAACCATAAATCAAAAGTTCAATTAAATACGTACTTGAATACCATTTATGATTTCATTCATTAATTTGATACGGCTATCCGTTCTTTGGGCGACTGTTCGCCTTATAATCGATGTTAGTTTAGTCAAGCCGGCTAAAAGAAGAAAAACATATAGTTCTGGCACTTTTGATTAACATTTAATTATTATTCACTAACAAATTAATACCTTGTATAGGCAAAACCAGAAGGATAACACCAAAGAGGCCGACAAAGGGTGCATAACCACCGGCGTCATAAAGAAAGTACAATATAATTGCTGCCTGAATTGGCACCAACCACAAATAATGCAGAAACATGAAGGCATAATCAAATCTAGCAACATCACTGGACATTATATTCACTACCTTCCCTGCAGCTACTTGGCTAAGAGAGGACTGACTCATTCGTAACATCTGTAAAATATTTACATTGTCATTTTGACTCTTAACGATCTCCCGTTCAGGATACTTAAGTGTCTTATTAATAATTATCAATAACTAATATAATATTAACTTCTTCATGAAAATTATACAGAAAATGTCAAAAATCCTATAAGATAAGAGTAATTTAATTTAGTTGAAAGTTATAGAAATAAATACATGTATCTGTTAATCACTTACCTTCCTGAAAACTAGTGAGGAAACGGCAACTTTCACCTTTAAACCAAATCGATTCACAAATAAAGAATTATGATGTTGGCTGATGATTCCTATAATATTTGTCACCAACATGCCTAGAGCGTAAAAACCAGCCTCTCTCTGATTTATAGCCTGATCGTTAGTCGACGACCAATACGTTAGCAATCGGCTGAACAACAGAGGCTGAACAATACTACAAAATAAATATATGGATATTAAAAATCTACATATGGAATTAGCCACTAAAGAAACGAATTGTAGTTATCCCTTTACCTCATTGCTAAGTTAATAGTAAGAAAAATTGTTCCAGCAAAATACTTCCAGCCATACGCTCTTATCAGAACTTTCAATAAAGATGGTTGTCGGTTCCCAGCCAACGCTTTTTCACATTCTTTTAACCAGTATCTAAATTAGAAAAATAACAGTCTTAAAATTTTCTCATTGAAGCGACGAAATGGCAGAATGGATTTCTTTCACTAACATTTGATTCTGTTAACTCTTATATTTAAAGTAAAATTTTTGAGAATCCTAAAATTATTTGAAGACTATCAATGTTGATCAACCTCAAAAGAGACTTCTTTTAGGTCTATGATTGAACTAAATTTTATTTCAAAAATCTAAATTATTCTAACGACAAAGTGAAACAAATGACGCTACGAACTCATTTTACATTTATAACTATGATATGAAGTAATATAATATTATGTGTTATATCAAAATATATTGAAGCCGATTTTTGCATATTACAAAAAATAAATACAAAATTTAATTTAAAATTGGAGATAATAAATTAATAAAATCCAATTTTCAATTAAAATTAATATTAGATTTTATATGACACATTTGTAAAATATTGATATACCAAATATTTAAAAAATATTTTTAAAAAATGTACTTACTTTTCCAAAGTGTCGCCGAGAAGTTTAGAATCATAGTACTTGTTGGGCCTAATAAGATCTTCTTCTTCCACATCTCTTTTATTGCCATTATAAAGAACTGGACAAACCCAACATATAAAGATTCTAGATATAATATTTGGCTTATACCTCTTTTTTTCAACGTTACCATCGACTTGGCCTTTACTGCCAGTCATTATTTGAACTGTTCAAATGCTGACTAATTATATTTTACCGACTTTTTATCATAAGTTTCTTATTTATACACATCTACACACTACGTATCACATACGTTCACTAATTATCTCAAATATAACAACCATAATTATCATTTATTGATAGCAGATTTGATATAAGGCGTCATTGGCGTATAATTTATAGTACGAAAAGACTGATCACTACAAACTTTAGTTTCCGTTTCACAAATCAAAAATTCCAACGATACTCTATGTTAAAAGTAACTATATTAAATAATTTTATAATAATCACACAAAAAGCACTTATACGTTATATTTACTTCAATATACTGGTTGATGTAGATATGTATGTACATTAATTCTACTTTACTTTATTACTGATAGACTTTTCTGTTACCAGAATATATAAATATCAAACAATGGCAGCAATAATAAAAAGAGATAACACAAACAAGGTTACCTTCAAAATAATAAAATAATCATATAAATTAAAATTCAAATAGGTTGCGTAAATTAATTCTGATACAAAACGCGGTCTTTCAGTATTGCTTCTACTTAATATTCTACCAATTACTTCTGGTTACATAAGAGATAAAGTTGCAAATTATTTAAATTGTGGCAATATATTTTATATACATTAAAAAAACGGAATAATTTTAAGAATTGCGGTTTTTCATGACATTAAAACAATATTTTACCTTTGTCATTGACGATGTAAAGGAAAATAGGACATTGATCTTAAACCTACCTCATTTTTATTGGTACTACTAGAGGAGAGATAGTGTGAACTCAAGCTTCATAAGATTAAATAGTAATTACGCAATTAGAAAATTCTTACACTCTTTGATATAGACATTGCACTAAGGACGATAAGAATTTATTAAAACCAAATATTAATACTATCACCAAACTCTGTTTATTATTTTTAGGTGTTCTATCAGTCATGGTTTCTTAGTTACGATCTATATTTTTCCTTCTTTCGTTCATAACTTGTCTCCGTATTTAAAGTTTTAAATGTTACTTTTTTTTATTTATGTATCACTTCCTTGAAGTCCTGTTCATATTCTCCTCTTCTTTTTCCACTTATATCTTTGAACGATTCGAACATATCGTAATTTAACTACTTTTGAAAGCGATGTGTGCTATTGATGTTGATTGAAACTCAACATATATTAATAACATATTTTAAAAATAACAGCAATCTTAGCAGGTTGAAGAACAATCTTCAGAGGAAATCTGAAATAGTTTTTTTCTAGTGTTCTCGCAGAAATCTGTATAGCCGGTACAGAAAGCGACGGCGTTGAACAATATTTTCAGGTACATTTATATAATTTATTCTGACAAAAGAAAATGATTTTTAGTTTGATGATGTACCTACTCCTATACTTCTAGGCGGTCTTAAATCAAATCAAATCTTCTTTAAGAAACAAATCATTTAATAACTAGCTTCACTGCATATTCGAATCGTTTGGAGAATATTTAAACCTTACAGGCATTTTTACTGATAACTTACGCTTTTGAAAGCTAATTAATTATTATTATTAGCTAACACTGCCTAATTCTATGACGAAAGGAAGAAATACGATAGTAGAAGTTACTTTTTAGTAATAGATATTATAGGTCTAAATTATTTATATTTCTGATATACAGGGTGACTGGTGAATTACTATCGATACTTGAGGACGTGATATTTGACGATCATATATGATAAAATAAAAATTAATATAACATAAATATTAATAAACTTCTAAGTAAAGTTAACCAAAAGTTATGTAATTAATTACGCATCGTGTGAACACCCTACAGATTAGGTATACACACACGCACACAAACACGTGTGGCGGCGTGGTGTTGTATCAGCACGCCGCCGCACGCGTCCACACTTGGAACACTTGGAACGTATCCACACTTTATTTATTTATACGGAAATTTGGTCAAAAATTAAGTACCTATTTTTTTTACATAATTCGAATGAGAATCATGTACCGAGTATGCTCCTTAAATATTGATAGTAATTCACCAGTCACCCTGTATATTTTAGAATCAGTTCGTTCATTGAAATAGTCTATTTGTTTGAGTTAACAGTGAAGTGCCTGACATACAGACATTTATTCTTATGTTTTAAAATTAAGGGAACGAGATATTTTATCTTTAATATCATCAAAACTATTGTTACTCATCCGTTTTCACACCTATTCTACGTAAGAGTTTAAGTTGAAATTTGCAATGAAATTATTAAGCAATCCGAGAAATTGTGAAGATTGATAGTTATTGCTTATCTGATTATAACATAGGATACAATAGGTATATTGTTTAGGTGAAATATGTACATATTGCAACGTGAAATCGATTGACAGTTCCTTGTCAAAATGACATCTCTCGGTTATATGATCTTTCGAAACTTCTATATATTTCACCCTAATTACTCTATATTTTTTTAATTTTCCGTTATTCATATTTTCTGTATAAAACCATTTTCAGTTCGAAATTTGCTTTTAATATACTAACATTTACTTTCTACATTGTTTTCTAGACTTTAATTTAGAAACTAAATAATATACAATAAGAGAGAGCTTAATAAAGGAACACTACTAAAATAGAATTGTGATTTATTCTAAGTCTTTTGTTTTGGTACATGATATTTTTTAATAAAAAAATATTATTTCTACTAACATCTTATCCTATTTTGATTATGCAGCAGTGTGCTACCGTGACAACAGTGAGAGGCTCTTGAGTAAAGATTGAAACCATTTTTTAATTAATTATGTCCTCATAATTGATTGGCTTAAAAAATTAAGGAACAAAAAATATACTCATCTCATAAATTAAGATAGATTATGTCACAATTATCTAGAAATTTATATGAACTAAAATATTTCGACTGTTTTTCAAATCGAGACCTGTTCCTCAGAAATATGATAACTAGGTTCCTCAATCTCAGAAATCTGATAACTAGGATGCTAGGGAGGGGACTAGCATAAGCATGCAGACTTTAGTAAGTTATCACATAATGCTAACATTCAGTTGTTTTTATAAAATAATCATATTTAGACTGGTGATTTAAAACTCATATATGTATATAAAACTTCATTTCGGATATAATATCTAATTTAATATTCATTTAATTTTTGCTGACAAAAATTATACTTGTAAATAAAGACTTCATTTTATTTTTAACGTAAATTCAAAATCGATAATAAAACCAGACTTTACTGAAAATTTATTCATGTCAAAATATATATAAAAGTATACAAAATTAGTCAAACAAATATACATAATCGAAATAAAAATATTAAAAATAGTCCTGTTTATAATGCACTGGGCATGCTTGGGGATGTAAGGCATCACAGGTACATTTTGAGTTCATCAACTTTTTTTCAATATTATCAACTAACATTTTAACATGACAAATCGGAACCATTTTGCAACTGCATTTTTCTGCTTCTGGTTCATAATTTTCATCTACGTGTTCAATAAAATTGTGTTTTGAGTAACTGTCTGATGGCAAAAACAAAGAATCAAAGAGTTTCTTTTTATCATAATTGGAATCAATACTGTATCTGTTACTGTTTAGTGATTGTTGTTCGCAAGTATTCCAAATGGTCTCTTGATTTAAGTCTGTCCCCGTGTTAACATTACTAGAAGTACAGACTTCTTTTGTTGCTCCCGTATATTTGTCCCTAGAATCCTTTAAAGTTATATCCTCGTTATAAGTCGTACTAATGTCAGTGTCACAACACTCTTTGCCTTCATCTTTATATTTCAAGTTGTTTTCACGACCAGTATTATAAGGACTCTTGTTTGCAACTATATGTTCAGACTTTATATTAGTTATCATTTTAGGCATAATGTATGACATTTTCTTTGTATATATATCATTTGTCAATGATTTCCAAATAAAGTTTATTTGATTACTATTAGTTTCAACCGTTGATTTACTACAACGACAATTTCCTAATGTGCGATCACATGAACAATTTATTGTATAACCAATATATGAAGGTTTTAAATTAGTAGGTTGTTCAGTAACCTCTTTCTTTTCAGTAGGAATTGTTGACGATTCAATAGAAGTATTCGTAGAAGAGATTCCAGCAACAATATTCATTGCACTGCATACCTCTTTTTCTTGAACTGGTATTATTTTAGCACATTGGTTTACAATTGTATGTTTATGTACAGGAGAATATTCATTGAAAATTGGTCTGCAATTGCAGAGTGTTCCATAAACTCGGTTGAGATCACAAGAATTTTCTTTCTCTGATGTAGTGGCTTGAAATAATTTGTTGTCTATGGTTTCACAAGACTTATTAAAATAAATTATTTTTGATGCTTGAAAGGAACTATCTTTAAGATAATCAATATCTCTAGCATCAAATTGAACAAATGTTTCATTTTGATCTTTACATTCTTGTACACTTTTTGTAACTTGATTATTTTGAATTTCGAATGAGCTTTTCTCTATTTTATTTTGTCCACATTTATCTCGTAAACGTTGAAAATCTTCTTCTATAAGGTTATTTACCTTATCCATTATACCAGGCAAAACTGACTCTGCACCTTTCTCTCCTGGAATACAAGAGCATTGTGCTTTTTTTAATTTGATTTTCAAATATTCTTGTAATAATCCATATACCCTTGACCAACTCCCCTCACTTGCTTTATCTTTAACACATATACAGGTTAAATTTCCGGTGCTCTCGGATATAACTTTTTTTACTTTATTAATTATATTTAAAAATAAATTTTTCTCCTCCTCTGGTTGTAGCGAGACAGATTCATTCAGGGAACGCCTAAATTCATCAAATTTTCCTTTCAAGTGTTCTTCCAATAAATTAAATACATTAAGTTCCAATTCGCTTTTTTCCATATTACCACAACAAATACATTCATCATCTTCTGTTTTGTCGGTAATATCAGGGGAAAGGCTTGAATGACCTCTTGAATTATGTAAGGACTCTAATAACTGATTTCCATATTTACAAGAATTTAATCCACATCGTAAATTATACTTAACATCTTTGTGTAAATTTGTAAGAGGGTTGTTTCTTTTATTTAAATTGTCGTCAATTCTTTTTTCTCTATAATTAATAGGGAACTGATGAGTACCCTGCTTTTCTTTTATGTTTTTATTTGCGTTAGAATTCCCAAGAGTAACACCTAGGAATTTAATGCGATAATCACAACTACAAGGAAATAAATCAGATTTTTTTACAACGTCTTGAATAAATGAATCCCCGCCAACCGCTACACCTTTTTTACTGCTTTGAGAAATAACAGATTTATCATCGGCATCCAAAAATTTTATATCTTGGTCCATAGTTTCCGTAGGATGATTTAGTGAATCTTTTTTTTCGGGAAAACTGTTATTGAGATTATCGGGTATTATTTTGTTACGATTCAATGGAACTGACTTTTTACATTTACAAGAATCGGTAAACAAGCACTGATAATGTAACGATGTTGTTCCAACGATGCCCTCAGCCGGCTTCATGGGTACTTTTATGTTGCTTTTGGAAAAAATGTCATTGCTTTTATCTAGATTAACAGCGCCTATGTATTCGGATTCAGTAGCTTGTGGTAAAGCAGCATCACAGGAAGTAGCTTTATTGCGAATATCTTCTTCAGTTGATATTTTTTCTATAAAATTGAAACTATTGGATATATTATTATTTACGAGTATCTTCGGTGACTCGTTACCTATATTTAAATCTAAATCATTTTTCTCTTCTATTGGACCACCTAGCAACAGTTGATTAGTTGTGATATTACGATTGTTGTTTTTATTGGTGTATGACGACATATTTCCTAGATCACCTTTCCATTTATTAAGAGTTTCTAGTAGTTTATCAATTGACGTGTTTGATGGAATCTTATGAAAGCAAATACAATCACTTGGGCATATAGATTGAGATAAATCTTTACTTATACCTGAAAAGTGTTGATCTGGGGATGACGGTAAACCTATTGGTTTTGTTTGCTTTATAGTAGAAGTCTTAGGCAAAATTTCTTTTCCTTTTTTAATTTTTAATGATGACTCATTCAGCATTCTTATTTCTTGTTTTTTGACTTTATTCTGATCACCACATAAACATAAATTGACGGCAAATGATTGTTCTATTTTCTTAAAAACTTTACTTGAATGTTTTTCAATACGTCCCCTCTGGCTGTTCAGCGAGTTTTTGATATTTTTTTTAAATCTGTAACCATCTGGAGATCTTTTTTTAATAAAATTAGAATCAAGACTAGGTAATGTGTCGCCAGATACTTTAACTTTGTCTTTCGCTTCATCATTTACAACTTCTTTCAAAAGTTTATTATTTTTATTCACAGACGAATTGTTGTCAGGTTTCTAAAAACAAAAATATTTTTAATTCGCTAATGATTATGAAGGTACCAGGTAACGTTTAGCAGTCTTCACTGAAAGTCAATAAATATAATATGATATGATTCAAAGATATTCTAAGTATAAAAAATAGATGTTAATTTACCGAAAATCGTCCAACCATCCTGGCTATTTTCTCTTCCATCTTACGTAAGTCTTCCTTCTTAATACTCTCCTAGAAAAATATTATACAAAATATAGTTCCATGTCATATTACATTTCAAAAACAAAAAAACTATTTAAAAAATATAAATCATGGTTTAATGTAAAGTCAATTTGAAAGGATCGTTCTGTTTGAAACAATACAAACAAAAACAAGGTAAAAAATAGCAATAATAATTTTAAAATATGTATTATTTCCATTTCTTTTAAATAAATTCAAATTGTGTAGTTTGAAATATTAACCTTTTTCAAGTCTTCGATTTGAGTTCGAAGATGGGTGACATCTTGCATTGTCCGTTTCAAATAGGACGGAGGATTATCATTTGTTTTACGAGAATTGTTAATTGTTGGTTGCTTAACCAAACATTGAAAAACTGCCGCTGTTTAAAATTAAATAAATTAAATCCTAAACATTATATAAGTCTGAGTAAACAATTACTTTATCCATGACGCAAAAGCATTTAAATTTACTACATATTAATTATTAAAACGTTGAATAAGGAATTTCATAGAAAATATTTTATCCAAGAGACGTCATATAAAATTTATTCTAGATTTAAATGGAACGTGCTATTAGCTGGTACTAATAGGGATACAAAAATATTAATTATACTTTTTTTTATAATGATATTGTCACGATGGCTTAAATATTGTGGAATGTAGTCGACATTCGGTGGCAGCGCCATCTCATGACGAGAAGACGAAACTATTAGCTAATCGTTTACTAGAATATTCTCACTGTAAATGTTTGTAACCTAGTAGAATGAATGATAAACGAGATTATTTTGGAAAAAGGTGGGATTTAAACAGTCTTTCGAGATGTGACATACAAGCGATAGAAGCGGTACTACATATCTGCGATCATAATAATGTAAAAATATATAAGATTTTTGCGAGTGCACTTAATATAACTATCGTTTTCAAATATACTACACTAATTATTTTACATCATAAACCATATTTCAGTAACTTCAGAGCAACCGAAACGTTAAACGAAGAGTTCATTAAGAAACCGTGGTTACATTTAAGTATTTTAATAGTATTAAACTACTAAAAAATCGTTTATTAAGTTTTAGAGTTATTATTTAACTTGCAATTATAATATAGCATCTGTATTATTTTGATCTATTTTTACAACATTTTAAGATAATTTAATTTTATGAAAGTATATACAATCGTTTTAGTGGTGATGAATATTTGTTATGCACACAAATAAACATATGTAACCGTTGTTATAATAGTAAGTATAAAACATGGTAGGTGACAGATAAAACATTACTATTACTATTTAGTTTTCTTACGAGATCGTGGTTTGCATTCGCAAGGGGGAGGTCCAGCATTTATTATTTCTTTTGCTTTTTTCGTCAACTGATCAGCTCTTTCTTTGAACAGATCTTCAGCAAGTTGGGAAGCCAATTTCTGAGCTTTTCGCTCTATGGCTCGTTCCTGCCAGCCTTCGTTTTGTGCAATATTCCCTGGGTCAGGTATGACTCTAGCTTGATCAGCGCAACAAGCACCTACCCACTACAAACAATAATAAAATGAAGGTACTGCGCTATTTTCAATATAAGAAATACTGGATTTATATAAATATGTGTATGTGCTTATTAATCAAAGGTTAATAACTTATTTTGGTTATAGAATCACGAAAATTTATGACCGAAGCTTCGGGTCAAGAGTCGTATAAATTAAATATTTAAAAATATAACACACATTGTATCTTACCTTTGCATGATATTTTTCAATGGAAGTAGCAATAGCGATATCCAACTCCCCAATAAGTAATTGTCCGAAAAATTTTAGCAGATTTGTTTTAACAACACTCGTACGATCCCAGTTATGTCTATCTTCCAGGCATTTTAAAAGCTGGCAAGGCATCAAGGACCCTGACCCTCCCAATTCTGATTGTAGTCCTCCAAAGAGGTCAGCCAGCAAGTTAGATAACAGTTGGCTCCTAAGTGATGTACATGAACAGGATTCCTATATCAAATCAAATAATCTATAAGTATACAAGTATATAGATCTAAAAACATATATTTAAAAAAAGTTTCAAACAATATATTAAATAATGGTGTATATTGTCTTTTTATTTAACCATAACATTTTATCACATACCAAAAATTTATCTTCAGGCGCACAATAACAAAGTGCAGCCAAAGAAGGTGTGCGCTTCACTTCTACAGCGGCGTCTTGTGGCACTTTACATTGACAATCCACCACCTTTTCTTTGAGTTCATTTAATTGATCCCTCTTCTGTTTCAACTCGTCTATTCGACTCTGCATGCGGCCTTCACACATAACCTTACAGCCGTCCAAATCTTCGATCATATCGTATTTTTCTTTACGTAAACTTTCCAGCTAAAATAGCAAAGTTTTTTTATCGGTTATCTATAACTAACAATTATATTACATGGATATTATTTTAATTATTTATGTTCCTTATTATTCTCAACACCACATAGCTCACAATCCCATTAATAAGTCGACTTATTTATTTTTATATCAGATACATTATTATTTATGTCTTAGGTATTTATTTGACACGCCCACAAATCACAGTTAATATCGTGAATTTTTTAGCTATATTTGTCATGAAACAATTATCTATAATCTTTATTTCCATCAGCATGAATATTGAAAGAAATATTTTAAACAATATTTTTTTTATATGTGCAACATACATAAATATAACTATTTCTTTGTGTGCTATATATATAAACAGTGTGTATTTATCTTTTAACCGTTTACAAGAAAAACAAAGTTAATATCCTTTAAGTCTACATTTGTAATAAATTTTATATAAAAAACAAAAACATTTTCTAATTAACCCCTTTTTTAAACTCATATCTTCAATGTTATATCAGACAAATATGATAAATATAACAATATGAGATATTTATAAAACACTGCAGTCACACTAACTTAATGTACTATAAACTAAAATTCATTGAAGAAGTGGTTTTAATATAAGATCGGTAGTGGAGGCAATCTAACAATTATTATATTGACCGCATGATCTAATTAGCTCCTAAAATTAATTGAATTTTCTAAACAAATTGCTTGCTGCAATTTACTCTAACTTTTATATGGCATATGATGAGGATCAGACTTATTTCGGGTGTTAGCTTTAATTAATTGTTATAATACCTCAGTCTTAATAGCGTTGTTCTCTGCTTCTTCCTGTAACAGCTGTTTAGACACCTGCGACATCTGTTTCTTGAGCGTTTCAAGCTCAGAACGCATAGCTCTCTCGGCCTCATAGGTTAACCCTCGCTCAGAATCAATCTCACTCTCCAGACTCAATAGATTACGACGAGCCTGTTCCTCTTTGAACTAAAATTAAAAGAAGTCATGAAAAAGAAGAACATGAAGAGGAGAAGAAAAAGAAGAACAGAATAAATAAAAATTATTTAAACTATGTACTAAAAACATAAGTTGTTAATTTACTTGTAGATCTCTATCAAGCTGTGTTATTCGACATAATTGTTCAGCTAAGGTGGAATCTCCACGTGCAGACTCTTCGCTAAGCTGCAAACGTGTACAGGCTCTTTCACACATGTCTTTTTCAATATCGGCCAGTTTGAAACGATCGCTTTCGGCATTATCACCTCGTTCCTTTAAGGTTTTTGCCATATTCATGCAAGCGGTTTTATAGTCATTACGTTCTTCTATCAACTTTTTAATCTGGAAGATAATTTGAAGAATATCCTTTTTTATTTTATGAATTTAATTCTAATATTTCTGTTAACATTACTTAATGTTAACAATATAATGGACATTAAAATATGGATGACAAAATGTTCAATAGTTCTTAGCCTTAGGAAAATAAAAGAGCAAAGATTATGTTTTCAGAAGAAATCCTTCAATTCTGATATAATGGATACAGGTTAAAAAAAAGTTAGAGCAGTATCTTTATTGATAAAGCGACAATTTATCGAAGTTATACCTTCAGATTCTAGTAGAGGTTTCAAATCCGACCTCGTCGAGGATTTGTCATACTAAATTATTTGTTTGAATATACGTTACACCTAATAGGAAAGGTTTTCTTTATTTAAACCATATTCTCGTACGACAAACACTATATAATTCATTTTATTAAAAACATTAAGAACGATTGCTTCATCAAATTTCTTTTCAAATATGACAAAGTTACGTTACTTCATAAAATATTAATAATTCTCACCTGTTTCATCACATCATCTTCCTTTTCCTCAGCTAGGCTCAGCCGCCGCTGGTAGCCGAGTTCTAAATCTTTCCAAGCAGCCTCAGCGCGCTCTAAAAGTTCAGCACGTTCAGCTTCACGCCTCGCTAGTTTTGATGCTCGATTTCTTAGTTCGTTTACAGCGTTGTCTAGTTCTGATAGACGTTTTATACAAACAGTGTCCTGACAGCATGCCTTCAGAAGAAAAAAAAAATAAAAAACTTCTAAGGTCCATGCTTACATGAGTAAAAGTAAGTGTGTGATTATTGAAATAAAATGTGTAGAATACCTAAAATTCTTATTTCAACGTCCTAATTATTGTAATTAACTAAAAGAAGCCATCGTAGAAAATCTATAAAATAAATTTACCGGAGACTCAAGTCATAACAATCAACTTCATACGTTCGTATGAAAAATCCACCCGACGTAAAAAGCAATTAAATACCTAACTGATTCTAGTATTACTTGTTATATTTTATGATATTATATTTTAAATTTATATTTTCTCATAAAAAGCTGTACATTAAAGTATACTATCCTCGTACCAAGACCTAATTATGGACTTGCATTATATTTCTCTGTTATATGTACTTGAATTGTATATTTATTTAATATATCTTTAATTGAGTCTCATTTTTTATCTTTACAATTTCTATATAATCTAAAACAACATATTTTTTATAGATTCTTATTAATGATTATTAACCGAACTTTGAAGATATTTTTATTATACGGATGATGTTATTTTTTACTTTAAAACCTTTAATTTAGTTTTTTAACTATAAATGTATCTTAAACTATTAAGCTATTTAAATATACTTATTTTGATGTCTTACATCATCAATTTTTTTCATAATATCTTTTTTGTCCTTCTGTAGTTTCATCGGACCTGGTCGCGCACTTGTAGAATTTTCCATGCGCATTACAATTTTTGTTTCAACGGGTAACTTGACCACTGGTCCCGTGAGAGAGCTGATGTCAAAATCATTGACGCTATTTTTAGGATTCTTGTAATATTTATGATCAACGTAAGGTTGAAACTTCACACAAGCGCCAGGTTTCTTGACGGTATTTACTTTCTTTGTACTAGTTGAATTCTCGGTGGTTACATTAACCGGTTTGTTCTCAATGAAAAATCTAAAAAAAATAATTTATTTTACCATCGGACAGTGAGTATTGACAATATACATAGTTATTAAATAATCACTTCATCTGAAGCCAATGAAGTATATAACAAGGCGCCCGCATCAATTAAATTTTGCTAACCGCAATTAGGGCAGCGAACTACTCGTGACTAACAAGGGGATGGGAATATTCATATCTAGAATACTAGACTTTGAAGTCCGCTAGCAATTACAATGAAAGAAACTACAATGTGAAATTCGTATATAGAAATGTTTATCTGAAAATAAATGATACCGAAGCTAAGTTTTAGAAAAGACATATATATTTAATTACGTTCATTACATTTGAAGGCTTTACGGAATGGCCCTTTCCGCGTTCAGGACTGACCTTGTTATGACTTGGGGTTTCAACATTCCGGTCATAATACCAATACTCATAACACCCATTGTAACATACTTTTAAAATGCAAACGATCCTCTTAACATGGGCTCTTAATTATTATTATTTTTTATTCACAGTATAAAACTTTATGACCCCTACCATTTTTTTTTAATTTAATACCAAAAAGGGCCTTAAATTTTTTGGAATTCTTCCTTATTAACAGGTTAATAAATTAAGAAAAATCTTGTTGATAGTAGCAATCCAACAGTTCATTTTATGTTTCACGTAATTTAGTCGTAGACAACCGATTATCTTTTTGAGGAGTTTTGACTTACTGATATAGGCCATCCGCGTCCTTATGACCTAGCTGCTGCCATGCCAGCATTGCACACATCAAATGTCTGAACTCTGGTGGCTCAGTTACAATATTACTCTCACTTGACTCAGATTCAACACGATTGTAGGTCGATATGATGGCTTCCTAGAAACAAAGTTATTTAAATGAATCGAAACACTTTATACTTTGTACTAAAAATATGATCTTAATAACGAGATGACTATACTTCATCATTATAAGTAACAAACATACCCAAATATAAAATATAAACTATCTCAGATGACATATACCTACAACTTGTATTTTATAAAGGAAACTTCATTACTGACACCCATATCAATCGTTTTACGTTTCTTATTATATGAAACGGATTATTTTCTTACAGCTATTAAAATGATTACCTTTAAATCCATGCTGGGTTTCTTTTCAAGAGCTTTGGAAATATTCCAAATAATAAGAGAGCACATAGAGATCTGTTTAGTCGGCGCCGTGACTACACCCTTATTTTCATGCGTTTCATTATTATGTAACTGAATTTATTTGAAAAAATGTATAAAAAAAGCATTAGTAATTTATTTCTTCTAATGTCAAACATTCATTTATTAACGATTTTTACCTGCTTATTCATTTTTATTACAGGAAATTTGTTTTATTATTTTTAATTGTTTTGTAATTCAAGGCTTTACTCAGGCGTATTCTTCATTTGAATAGTGTTAGATATATTAAACTATTACAATATTAAATTTAATTTTTCAGACAAATTGAAAATTTTGGATAATTATGTAGTTGTCTGCCAATGTCATGAATTAATGATATTTCTAGACTCCCAAGAAGTTTTTATACAAGTGATGGCAATTTGTAAGGTGACTAAATATAAAATTTATTCATAGCGTATAAAATTCTATCATTATTTCTTTTTCTAACAAAATTCATGTATATGTATGAAAATATTAATGTATAATGAAAAAATATAATGTAAATTTATTAAAAAATAAAAGTAAGAATAATCATACATGTATTCAATAAATTATAAAAATTGTCAAAACACAATATAATTTAAAAAAAAACACTATTTAATATACATGTATATCTTCTTTTTTAACATTATTTTTCATTTATTTTAAAGATTTTATGATGAAACTCAATTCAAAACTGAATTATCCACAAATAAATGTTAAGTATCTACTGCACTGATCGTCTAAAATAAAAACAACTACAATTGAATTGGTGTCCATAAATTAAAGACAGTAATATCTACTTCATTCGGACAACGAGAACCTCTCATCCTTCATAAAGTAATAAAAGTGTAAGGAAAGAATATTCATTAGATATGAAACTAGCAATAAAGCTAATTACTTCAGTACACGAGACAATAGAACTGCAATATCATATTAATTGTAATTTTCATAACCAAAAAAAGTTAGTCATCCAGAATATAGGAGCAAAAGATTCTATTAAAATACGATAACAAATTTATTGGAATTGTATCATCTAAAAACTATTTATAATCAATCAAATATAATAGCTTTCATAATTAAAATGTTTAAAACTTAATTTAATAGTGAAATCATTTGTGGCGCGTGGACAAAATTGTCGGAAAATACGAGTAACCTATTTTATGTGTTTAGCGATTACTAATATTATTATATTAATGATTTATGAATCATTTGTAGAATACATTAAAACTTATCAGTAATCCATTATCTTTTATTACTATATTTAGTCAGTCGTAGTGTACAAAAATAAAAGTCATCACAGCAATATATTAATCGCAATCACATCACACAAAAGTTTTTTTTTTACTTTTATCAATAGAGCATACGAAAACATTATATTTTCCAAGTCTAAGATCCTAAGAGAAATTGATATGTTAAAGGATTTTATATACTAGTATTACCCATAATTTTATTAAATTTAATGTTAATCTTACAAATACATATAACACCATGTATACCGATTTTTTTTTTTATTATACGATAATGAGTCCTAAAGAATGCGTAACTTGTATTTTAACTACCAAGTACTAAACTGCTTTTAAAAATCAATGTATTATAAGTTGTAATTGTGAACTGTGACAAGTAAAATCTGTTTTTAAAACTAAACAGCATTACGCAACAATTTTTCTAGTTTCATAGAATTTTATTTCATTACTTTTTAATTACTGTATTAGTAATAGAAATATTAACTTTAATTACTGCGACAGTCTTTGCATTTAAAAAACAGCTATTTAATTGTTGAATTAAATATAATATTGCTTAATATAAAATTATGTCAAAGATTTCGATCATATTCACTCTTAATTTAGTGGCTCTAAAAATCTTAAGTATTCCACCTCTCGACGTGACAATAAAGAGACAAGCAGTAGAGGAATAGCACTTAATAGAGTAGAAAACCCTCCGAATGAAATAACACTCTTGTAAGAAATCAGATGAGTGTTTCTCATCATACTATATTCGCGATTTCAAAATAACGACAACAAATGTATCTTTACGAAAGCCCTTGAATTGATAAAAAACTGATTAGTATCTAACGATTATAATCCTTTAAAACACAACCCAATGCCAATATGAATCATATATATCAATCAATTATACATACACATATACATTATCAACTATTCTTCAACAGTTTTAAATAAAACGTCACAACTGATTATTTTTATCAACGGAACGAGTATAAAAAAATGCAATTTAAATTTCCGGTAAAATTTTCATTCCACATATTTCTTTTAATTTAACACTTTTTGCAACTTTTACTCGGTATATTGGAAAATTCTATTTCATCGTTTTGCCGTTCGCTGAATTTGAACGTTTCAAACGAATATTTCGGTAGCATAAAATAGTATTGTTCTGAATGTTTAAAAATAATAACAATGCTACATGAAAAGTTATGATTTAAACTTTAACGCGTCCAATGTTTGGTAAATGCTAAAAAAATTTTACTATGAAATGTCCATTGGAATTAGGTATATATACAAATAAATAAAATTGCAAGAATCGATTGAAATTTTTCTGGTCAGACATGTCACCGGTACATAAAAACATTCAGAAGTATTTATATATATATGAATAGCATAACTTACACAGCAAACCTCTTCTAAAGTGATTGTTTCTGGAGCAGAATCCGCGCTGCGCCACGTTGGAGTAGATCTCAAAATTTATTTTTAGATGCGCAAGTTTCTTAATGCCCAGGCCGCAGACGAAAGTCGTTAAGTAATTTGAAATGAAAAGTCTACCCGGATAAAAACTGGCGCATTGAATAATGGATTACAAATGCTCTTCATATATTATATTTTAGATCATGTATAAAAATTTACTAACTAAAAGAGTACATTTTTTTATTATTATTTAATTTATATTAGAAAACAATGATGTAGAAGATTTAAAAAATAAACACATTTTGTAAAATGAATATAAGTATTTCATTCATAAAGTGATAAATAAATTTGATATCGTTCTAATAAAATTTACGCTTTTAGTAAACATGCATTTAAAATAATGGTTCTCAATATATGTACAATGACAGGAAAATATTGACGTTGTATATGGATTTGTACTTTATAAACCGCGACATTTAGTGTGCTTGTTTGTTTGTTTGTTCTTCCGTACAGACAAATGTTTGGATTTATCTCGAAAATGATTCTTATGTATATTTAAATAAGTATCATGCACCCGTTACAAGGTCAACAGAACGCAATGATTCATTCTGGAAATTTTGCTCTAAGTGGCGTTCGATTGATTTAATAATTGGTATCTTCATATAAATTATAATACCCTTTTTCCAATATTATATTTCTGGTCCAGAATATTTAAATCTCAAACATTTAAAGAAATGAAAGCAGATATTTTTATTGGGTTCATTTTGACTGCTACTTAATTCAACACACAGTTCATTAGTGACATCTTGATAATACTGCATTCCGGTATTCAGCTTAGAATTAAGATTTTGAAACTCGTAAAACAAGTCTATCATAATTGAGTTCGTTATAATCGGTTTTTTATTCTAGGCACTTGTTATAAAATTTAGAAAAGTTACATACATAGTTACTTATGTTATAAAAAAGATCTTAATCTTGTAAGCATTTATGCATCGTACCTATACATCATGTTTGGGCTTATTTTGCTTAGAATAAATTGTAAATATTATACACTAATTCTTGATGGGCTCATCAGAAGTAAAATTATGCTTGAGATTATCTTTTTGCATGTGCTACACTTTTTGTGTTTAGTTTAATTCTAAAAACTCTTAATCAATAGTACCTAACCAGTAATTTATAAAATACCAAATACTATAAAATAATCAATTTAAAATTAAAATCTGGCCAAAGATGTTACATATAATAGATATTACATATAATAAAAAAACACGCTTAAAGGCGTTCTGAAACAAAGAGATGATCGTTTTAGAGGAAATAATTTTTATTTTTTGACGTAAATGTATCAATACTTGTATTTTCAGCAAAACTTCCATCTTTGTATACTAATTTGACAATCTTTAACATAAACATTTCTAAATATACTGTACTTTTTACCAGAAAACAACACAAGAATTAATTAAATGTAATACCTTAATTGCTTATTATTATACATATTTGGATAGCATATTCTTGTAAATATACCGTAGTGTTCTCCTTCAGTGATTACATCATTGAATTATACGCCTCTCACTTCATAATTTTATAAGTATTTTTAATTCATGTTATGTCATATAGTATACTAATTAGGCATGAAAGCTAGTGAAATATAATTCAACACTAAGAATCAATATCATTGCTGAACTTATAACGATACCTACATAATGTTATCGGTATTGATTGGTGTTGCTCTATTATTTTTTACAGGAGAACATCATATAGAAATTTTCTTAACAAGACTGTTGATGAGATAAATTCAGTTTCATAATATTTTTTAGAGTTATTCAGTTTATTGAGACAATCAAAAAAAAGTCCGTCCATATTTATGCTTATTACTTTGTTGTACAAAAACACGAAAATCTTATAATTTATACATATATTTGTTCATTTATTTATGCCCTCTATTATATTAGCATCACACTGGCTACTATGGTGTGAATGCTGGGCCTTGATTTATTACAACTGATATTTGAGAATACTTGACCCTGGCGTGTTACGCGACAAGATTGTCAGCAGTTTTAATGTTTATTATTACTTCAAGCTGTCAGTGTCTACACAAATTGACATACTTTCGAGGAGAAGTGAACTGGAAGGTTCTATATATTACATACATATATACTATATAAACATACATGTCTTACGAGCATACTAGAAATTAATTTTAACAATTTTTTTTCATGGATATTATTTCAGAGACTCATAGTAATTAAAATTAAATATCACACAATTATCAGCTTGCATTCTCGTTACAGCGTAAGGTAAAAATATGCTTAAGTTTCTTTTTTTCTTTTATATAAAATACATATGAAGATTTGAAGACAAATATAATATAAATGTTTCATTATAAATAAATTTGTATTACAACGAAAGCATGACATGATATAAAACGATATGTATTTGTTTCTGCTTATATTTGTTTATCTTTTGACGTCTTTGAAGTTGTCTGCGTGATTGTAATACGTTTACACGTTATAAATTTAATAAGAAGGAAATTTACTTGCTAAGACAACTAACCAAAACAAACGCTAAGTCATTCTTATAATAAATCACATATTAGAGACTTATATTTGTCTATCTAAAAATGTACCGAGTTAGAAAGACATGTAGTAAAAATTGCATATTGTTAGGTTGTTGAAGTACATTTTTTCTTTAATCAAATATCTCTTATCATACGCAAAGTTTTAACTTATAGATATCTTTTCTTTAAAACAGACGTAACTAACTACTAGCGGTCGGTCGAAAACTCGATTTTGTTGTAATGCATACCCAATTAGGGATTTCTAATGACCAAGAAGACATAAATGACATACAAGTTTACCATAGATATAGAAAAGAATAATATTATGTATAATCTATTTCGATTAAGGCCAGAGCACCCAGGATTAATTTCTAAAACAATAGAAAGAATATGGTAAATACAGTATTGCACTTTTTTCTACTCTATTTTAGGGTTCAGTGCTCAAAAGGTAAGTCAAAACCTCATTGCTGAGACGACATTTTCACTCCTTCTATACGTTTTTCACCAGACTGGATCTTATAAACCATGACAGTAAGACAGTTCAATATTTTACAAAATGAATATTTCTGCTACTGTACTAAAATAAATAAAAAAATATTGTAAAAAACATAAAAAATATATATTTAAAAGGGTTCTCATACAATAAACATTTTTTTTATCTTTTTTATAGGTTACCCTTCCGTTAACCCTTCGTAGGATACGGAACCCTTCATGCGGGAAACCTACTTGCGCTTGACTGTTTGTGTAAAATCGTGTTAAAAGGAAAAGAACATTGAAAACAAAGACATTTAAAAACAATCGTTGGTTTACAATTTATATAAAATTAATATTCAATTGCTAATTTTCTTTCAATACAGCTTTCAAAAATAATACAAAACGGATAAAGCAATCTGTTACCGGTTGTGAAAAATAATATATCTCACCCCTTCCCACTTTTAAACTTGCATTTAACTTAGTTTATTTCAAAATACACGTTTATATTTGTAAATACAACTTAAAATAACGAAAATTTTAATAGTCGTATAATAAATTAAATATACAAAAATTTTTATGATAAATAAAATATTTTTTTTATTGAATAAAATCGTACACACCTGATTGAGATTCAGTTGAAAATAATTGATAAAGGAAATACGACGTCATAAGAGGAAAAATTGCACGTTTATATTAAAAGCTCGTTCTAGTTGATAGTGTTAATGATGCGGGGAATAAATTCATTGGTCAATACATCTGTTAAGACGACGGCGCCTTCGGAGATCCGACAGTCGATATAAACGTGGGTACAACACGCGCGGTTCTCAGTAGAAGAAGGCCAGCGATCGGTCCGAGTAGTCAAAGAACCGCTCTCAACGCACGCGCAACCCGCCACTTGCGCCGAACGTGGTATATCTTGGCAAATTATGATTTCTAAATCACATTAAAATCACCTTGCACATCAACTGTGACTTCAAGGGGTATATTGATAGAAATTTAAAGAAAAATATTATCAAAATGGTCAGTGGTAACAAAAACGCCGGCGATCCGATTAAAATACCGCCCAAAAATCGCGAAAAGAAAACTAATAACTATAAAAGGGCCAACATTTTCTCGAAAGCATGGTTCGTATGGATGATGCCAACTTTTTGGAGAGGATTCAAAAGAGACCTATACGACTCGGACCTCACCAAGCCCAAAGACAACCATCTGTCCGATAAACTTGGAGATCGTCTTGAAAAGTAAGTACCTGCTTCCTATATTCTTATCTGATGTCATAATTTAACAGACCCAAGTCACGACATGCAATTTGTTTTTTTATTAGGACACATACTTAGATGAATTATCGGACCCAATTCACAGTAACTGACCTTATATTTACAAGGCAAAGAGCAAATAAACACATACAGTATACATTTTAAGTTATTCACACATTTATTATTCTTATTTACTTAAATTGTAGCACTAAACTTAGTAATTATCTTCATTATTTTCTGAAAAATCTGAAAAATTCATTCTAGCTTGTTTTCCTTTTTAAAAAAATATTTTAAAATTTGAAATTATCAAATACATTTTAACTTAACGTTTAGTTAACTTTATTTTAAATACTGTTATATATAACATTTATATATAAATTAAGTTATATATCTTATAGAATGTGTATATAAGCTGCTTTATGTATATTTAACACTCTTTATATCAATACTATACATAATATTACTATACATAAGAAAATATTCTAATAAAATTATAAGCAATCTTTACATGTAAAATTTTATACCCGACGGAGCGTGTAAAAATGTAGTGTCTAAATATGACATTTATTACTCTATCAATAATAATATTGTATCTCTACTGTCTGAAAAATTAAAATACTTGTGTAATTTCTACGCAAATTTAGTAAAACATTATTTAGAGAAAAAAAACTGACGGCAATTTAAGTGATAAAGTATAGACTACCCTCTTTACAAACTTTGTTAAGCCTTTGTTTAGTTCATTTTAATCGTTTTAGCGTTAAACAATGATAAAAAAATGAACAAGTAAAATAAATACTCAGATGATATGAGATAAGGAGATCATAAATTACACACATGGTTTTAAAATAAAGAATACGGCAGTGGTTAAAAAATATTAAACATGCTACTAAGAATCTGCTTGCAATGCTTCTTATTTGAATTACCGATGGCTCAGGGCACTGGCCTGGTGTTTCTTTATCGTAAGACCGTCAAAAAATATTGTCAAAATGTATATATTACGTGTAAAAGAATATTACTCCTTCACTAATAATATTGAGATAAATTTATCTTTATTAGATGTATTATTTCTTAAAAAATATTCTATAGATACAACTATTTCTTCTTTTTAATAAGAATTGTTTTTTAGTTTAGGCTAAGCCTCTAGCCTTTACAAACGAGGTTGTGGATGAAGTATATAGTCATTTTGTACAGTATGAGGACAAGGCAATACGAATAATGTAATAATAAAATAATTGTTCATCTCTTGACTCGTCTGCCAATATATAAGAAAATAAAACCTTCTTGCCGTATAAAAAAAATCATACTTCATTTGATGAATTGAAAATAATCGATTATAAACATACTGTACAAGTAACATTTATCATGGCTTTAATCTTCATTTAAAATATATTTCGTCGTAAAAACTTTTCGTTGCTAAATTTTTAATTTATTCACTAGAAATGCAAAATGTAACTTGCAAAATGTAGATAACAATATTAAACATTTAAATTAACTGATAAAAAGTAATAACTCAGATAAATTGAAAACAAGCAAAACTTTAACGATTTTCTTAATATAAATGCAACTGTTATGTAAATGTTGATAAAATATAAGTAAAATCTTTTAGTAAATACACAACAAAAATTTAGGCTGCTTGTGTAACTTCATAAGTTGTCACATTTGTGTAAATCGGCGGTAGCATCGCTCGCTAACAATTACACGGTCGAAAGGTTCAACCAATTCTATATATTACACCTGATTCCACCAAAAAAAATAAAAATTAAATCGTATGACCGCTATATTATATTAATAAACATATTAACATAAATACTTAATTTTAAATCATAAGAATATTAACAAACGGGCCCCATATAAATTTTGAGAATAATAACTAAAAGAACGCGATCCAAGGAGTCTTTTGTTGTCTTATATACAGGATGTAATTATAGTCAAGTTATTGCAACGGATCGTCCGTGACTTTATATGCTTAAATGACAATATTATTCGTTGCTCTTTTAACACGATCGTCAGGTATTTTGTGATTGTTTTCATAAAACATATTACGATGTTTGGTTGTTTCAACGATTCCTTTCATTCTTGTCGTGACTTCAATTCTGATTTTATTCCAACAAATATGTACAAAGTACATTTGTTATTAGTATATCTTATTATGAGGATAAATGGTGAGATTTTTTTAATTCTATTTTGTTATATGTAACATTAATTACGTAAAGCAATTATACCTAAACTCATTATAACCCACACATTCATTGTAAATATATAAGATTATCAAGCTAAAACCTTCACCTTTAGAATGTAAATTGTTTACATTTTTTTAAATATTTTTATGAAAAATCAATAAATGCAAACAATAAGGAAGATCGAATAATAAATTCTTTTGTATTTTTCATCGTATAATAATTGTACCATAAATTAATATAATTAATAATGAAAACTGAAAACCCTGTAAAAAAAACAGATGAAACTAACTTCCTAAAAGATCGACCGCGATGAAACAATAACGTGTATTTTTTTCTCAGAAATAATATTGCGCACTTAAAACTGTATATATTAGTGTTAATCATAATGTAAAATATATGATATAACTATTTATTTTTCACTTTACACATTGACAATAACGCCTAACTAATGCCGTCTATGGCAGATAACAAAGAAAAATTATCATGCTTGAAAAAGATCTTAGTTTTATTGTCATCGCATAGATATTTTTGGTATATATAAAATATGTGTATTAGTCATCAGGTAATGTGGCACTTCGCGAAAAAATATTTTCTCAAGATCTCATTTTCCACGGATAAACAATACACATGAAAACTTTTAATAAAAATAGTTACTAAACATTTCATTTTCATCATCATCTAACTTTTAATTAAGTTCACTTTGTTAAACGAGAGCTCAAAGGTTTTTCTTTCCAAAATTTTTCATTTCATTTATAAATTATAGTGAAACATAAAATTTTATTATGATTAAAACACTCTGCACCGTGACGTCACATCAATTTTAATATTACTAGCCATAATATAATTCAAAATGCAAAAAGAAATCATGAATTACACCAACTAAATAAGTAAAAAATGATCTCTTTTGCTGCATTTGTCATACGTTCCATCAAAAATGACTGTAAATTGAGTAATTGAAGTCCTTAATATATTAGACGGAGTTTTAATATTCTGAAGTTTAGTTTGCAAAACGAACATGGTCTTAGTAATTTTACATATGCTACATTTATCTACATAGTTTTCTATTAAATATTATTTGACAATTTACTTACAAGTTCATGTTTTTTGTTATATTATAAGCCCGATATATCCATTCATATATAACAAAAGAATATATTAACTTAATTGCATAGAAAAATTCACAAGACTTCCTCTAAGACGTAAGGTTATGCAATATTATCTAAAATACATAAATTTATTTAAAGTTATAAAATTAAAAATAAATCTTTTACTTATACAAACATCAGAGATTAGAAAATTAAAAAAAAATACTGTTCAAGCCCTTAGTGATATTAACTGGGAATACAAAAAAATATATATACATATATAACTAATAATAAATGACTTGCAAATTCAATTTATATAGTGTCAAGTTGTAATTTATGTCATAAATATAATCACATGGTCCCTTACAGCATTATACTGTAGGAAACAGAAATGTAAGTTTACTTGCGGCTTACTTATCTTGACAGTTCTTACTCTTTACATTTGGATAATTTCATTTCAATATTTGTAAGATTTGAACATATTTGTATACATTAAATATTTGAGATTGTTTTATTATATCTCATTTATTACAAGTTATTTAATCTTCAACACCTACTTAGTTGTCATTTGATGTCATCAAGAGTTTTATTCTCAGATATATCTTATTATTTTTATATAACTTTTTCACGCATTTTTTATATTTTCTATTAGATAAGTAAACACGACGGTGATTGTCATTGTTATATCTTTTTTCCTCAATAAAATAATGATTCTAAACAAATTTTAAATATATGTAATAGATAGAGCAAATATTTTTACATTTCGTAGTATTTGACGGTTTATAATAATTTATGATTCTAAAGAAAACAGTTTGTTTAGAGGTTTCTCGTCTTACGTATATCATTTCCATGACGATATAAAATATTTTGTATGAAATCGCTTCTTATATATATTTTTTTTTATTTGAAGCAATTCTTATGTATTATGATTTTATGCCAAAATATAACTTCATTTGAAGTTTTGAATGTATAAAAATATTTAACTCTATGAAATTATTATTAATGCATGATCGTAACGAAAATTAATATAATATTGTACTATCATTTACATCGCGGTCAACCAAACTCATTGGTGAAGTGGAAAATTAGTTTATTACCTTGCTTTCAGTATCATGTTTTCAATTGAAAACAAAAAAAATGCAATACAAAAATTAACATTCCAAAAAATACTTTTAAATCGCGAAGAGATAAGAACTATCGAAATCAGTTTAGATTTAAAATTTTAAATAATCATAAAATTTCTCATTAGGCACTTTCAAGTTCAAAGAATCGTCAATATGGATTTCCAATTAAATTGTGCTAGTAATAGTTTAATAAAAAACAATATGAAATAATGAATATTATTGTCTTAAAGTCTGCTTCAAAATAAACAGTTGTAAGAAGTTGATAGTTAAATACTAAATAAAATAATATTACGAACAGTTGTTTCTGTAATCAAGTATTTCTATACGTATTTATAAATTCAGAGTGAAGTAATGTGATATAAAATTTTATTATTTTATTAAAACAGTCCATAAATACAGCGAATTGAGGAGTTATTCAATTATTTATGATTATTTAAGTCATAAAATTTATTTATATCCTTTGACTATACTGAAATCAAGGCAATAAACATCCTATAAATCTCTTAACAGTGTCCTTTATAGAAATTTCTTAATTCACACATCATCAAAACAAACATCATTTAGGAAATCTGAAATAATATTCAGTAACAGAAATATGATCTAAAATTATATGATGAGATCTAAGACTTTCGCGAGTTTTATTCATTTAAATGAAATCAATATTTTTCGGATATACTACTACATTTTTGTGA